TGTTGCTCCTAAGCTATTTAAAAGAAGATTTGGAAATCTTCACACAATTTTGGATCCATGGACAAAAATAAAATAAACATTTATATCTCGTACCCTGGTGATGACAGCATGTGATTTCAAAAGATTTTTAGAATAAGATTCATTGTTCTTATTGAATCCAGAAAATTACCTTTTAAATGAAATGGAGTGACCAATATGTTTACTTTTCTAGCCATAATGTCTCTTTGGGACACTTTATGCCCTATATTTAGTTATATATATATATATAGTCAATAATATATTCTCAACAAATTCATGCTTTTACCACTATTGGTTTAAGTAATAAGCCTCACTATCCAAATCCAGTATTTTAACTGATTGGTGAGTCAGTCTCTCACTTCTGCTATTGAACTTCCTGTATTAGGGCTGCTGGACTGGTCCTATTGGAAGCAGATTCAAAGTGTTAGTTGAAGAAATATGAAGAATTGCTGAAACCAGTGGATAATCAAAAACAATAATCAAGTTAATATGATAATTAACTAAATTTGAAACGTTCTCTGTAGTGATCATTGAAAATTCAGCAACTGGCCCACAAGTGAGGGGATGGAGGTCTTTCTTTTCTGTGTGGATTGTCGTTCAGTTGACTTGTTGGGCTGATACGTTTGATCATCAGGCTGCGATGGCACTCTCGGTCTGGCTTTTGATTCACCCTGGCACAACATTTCATAATGCATGGCAAAATTGTCTTAAGGAAAAGTCAAGTGAATTGTCACCTCAAGTGAACTGTCTTGAGTTGACCCCTCAGAAGGGTCCACTTCCTCTTTCGGGAGCTGGGGAGCTGAGGGCACCACTTCCTCTTTCTCTCTCCACAGTCATCCAACTGTTCAAGGCTGGTGTCTGAAATTCTTGAACACTCAAGAGAACCGCAAAACTCAAATTAAACTTATAGTTTAATAACTAAAAATCTCATCTGGTTATCAAGACAGCAGTTCCTCATTTTATCAAAAAGCGTACTTCATTGCGGGAAAAAGCAAGCGTTTCTTCGTTGCAAAGACGCAGGAAAAAAGCAAGAAAACTACTCTTCAGAATACAGTGTATATTGTAAAGAGAATTTCTTCTGTCTTTTCTTCTTTCTTTTTCTTCAAGAAACCAAAATAAAATGACTATATGATGCCTGTTATGTGCTTGTTCAAATCACAATTTATATTTAAATTGGTCACCCAATCTCATTCTCATATAATGCTCAATGCACAAAAATTCTCTTAGTTAAACATAAACCATTTGCTCTTAGAATCTCTGCAATGGATCAATTTTTTTTCAAGTTCTTTCACACTGTCTCCCAGGGATAACGGGATACAAATTCTAGACACCTTCAGATAGAAAGTATAATATTTAAACACGTGTTCTTAATATCTTATTATTTATTTATTACTTTAAGAGCACCTAATTGCTCAGTCTTATATATCTCATCAACATAAATAAATCAAAGTTTAACTCACAAAAGTTTCTTTATGATTCAAAATTTCCTAATTATCTCAGAATGTTTCACGGGTGCATATTCCTATTATTATGATTTATAACTTTAACAATTTCTGTAATTTTTTTCAAAATGTAAAAATTCATAAATGTTAACAATATTGATCCATGTATCTTGTCTCAACTCTTTCAACTGTATCTTTATATTCTCTCAGAATTAAACCTTTATTCAAACAAAACTTCAAACAAAAAGCAAATTGCAGCTCTACAGCATCTCGGGGCATTTTTCCCTCCCGGATCTGATTTCCAGCATGACAAAGTTGCTCTCTTTGCAGGAAGTTTTATTGACACAACAAATAGAATACTCAACAAATACCAATTTGGTTGAATTTAACCATAATCATTGCTCATTGCCCTTAATAGACAAGGTAAAAACTTCTTTTTTTAATGTGATCACCAATTTCCTTTAGATATTTTTTCTATCTGGCCACTTAATCTCAATTCTATATATCTTCGTACATATGTAGCCTATATATTGTTAAATAGGTAAATTTAGTTGACTTTCGTCTTCTCCATAGGATAATGGGATACACCGTTTAAACCTGGGCTCAGCCAGTTTTTTCTCTTCTCTTCTCTTTTTTTTTCAACAGATCTGGAACATTTTAATTTCAGAACACGTTCCAAAATCTTATCTTAAAAAAACGCACAAAAATGCTTTATTTTACACATTAAAAAGGAAAACAAAAACTGAAGTCTGTGTGTCCTACCTTAATAATTTTAAGTCCTTTTAGTCCGTCTGGAATGGGTCCCTCTGTCGAACAGGGTTCTGCAGTCTGGCAGAGTGAAGACAACATGGTTCCTCGTCCCCGTCCATCCTGACAGAGGGAGATTCCGAGGACTCCTGGATTGGCTCGCCAAATTGTGATGGATTTTTTCTTCCCTAATGCTAACCTATAATCTGACTATCCGCTTTCCTAAAATGCTCAAGCTCTCTACGTCCCTTACGACGTCTTTAGCTTACTCAAGCTCTATACGCTCCTTACGACGTCTCTAGCTTACTCAAGCTCCCTACGTCCTTTACGACGTTCCTAGCTTCGAGTTTTCTGAACTACTCTTACTCAAGCTCTATACGACCCTTACGACGTCTCTAGCTTCGAGTTTTCTGAACTACTCTAAAACCCCTTTGCTGCGCAGCTTTAATGACAGACAGACTTCAGTAAATGTCCTTTAGATGCTTTTAATTACGGCCAGGAGTCTCGAGCAATACTCAGAGAATCTCCCAAGTAAAACCAAGGCCGGTGGATCTCAGACAAATTCCATTGAGAATCCCACCGAAAACACGGAAACAACAGTTTTTATACAATAGGGAGGTATGGCAAAATGACATTCATTTGATTGGTTATTCCTTCTGTTACTGGGTAAGAATTTGTTTTAACGATTACTTCATTGATCACAAGTTCTAACTTAGTCATCTGTCTAGTCTCATTTCCCATATTTGTTATTTATACACACAGTCAGGAGTTCGACACACACACATTCATGTAGAATACAGAACGTCCTAGAACATGGTTTTTAGAGATTTAGCAGTTTAAACAAGGTCAAATATTAAAACATGGTTTTCTTAATATTCAGTTTAAATTTTCCACCACACGTGTAACGGTGATCTGATGATGTCGTGTAACGGTAATCTGATGATGTCGTGTAACGGTGATCTGATGATGTCATGTAACGGTAATCTGATGATGTCGTGTAATGGTGATCTGATGATGTCATGTAACAGTGATCTGATGATGTCATGTAACGGTAATCTGATGATGTCATGTAACGGTAATCTGATGATGTCGTGTAAGAGTTATCTGATGATGTCATGTAATGGTGATCTGATGATGTCATGTAACAGTGATCTGATGATGTCATGTAACGGTGATCTGATGATGTCATGTAACGGTAATCTGATGATGTCGTGTAACGGTGATCTGATGATGTCATGTAACGGTAATCTGATGATGTCGTGTAATGGTGATCTGATGATGTCATGTAACAGTGATCTGATGATGTCATGTAACGGTAATCTGATGATGTCATGTAACGGTAATCTGATGATGTCGTGTAAGAGTTATCTGATGATGTCATGTAATGGTGATCTGATGATGTCATGTAACAGTGATCTGATGATGTCATGTAACGGTAATCTGATGATGTCGTGTAAGAGTTATCTGATGATGTCATGTAATGGTGATCTGATGATGTCATGTAACAGTGATCTGATGATGTCATGTAACGGTAATCTGATGATGTCATGTAACGGTAATCTGATTATGTCGTGTAACGGTGATCTGATGATGTCATGTAACAGTGATCTGATGATGTCATGTAACGGTAATCTGAAGATGTCATGTAACGGTGATCTGATGATGTCGTGTAACGGTGATCTGATGATGTCGTGTAACAGTGATCTAATGATGTCGTGTAACGGTGATCTGATGATGTCGTGTAACGGTAATCTGATGATGTCGTGTAAGAGTTATCTGATGATGTCATGTAATGGTGATCTGATGATGTCATGTAACAGTGATCTGATGATGTCATGTAACGGTAATCTGATGATGTCATGTAACGGTAATCTGATTATGTCATGTAAGAGTTATCTGATGATGTCATGTAACGGTAATCTGATGATGTCATGTAATGGTGATCTGATGATGTCATGTAACAGTGATCTGATGATGTCATGTAACGGTAATCTGATGATGTCATGTAACGGTAATCTGATTATGTCATGTAAGAGTTATCTGATGATGTCATGTAACGGTAATCTGATGATGTCATGTAATGGTGATCTGATGATGTCGTGTAACTGTGATCTGATGATGTCATGTAACGGTGTTTCAGACTGGTCTCCTCCTCTGATGATGTCATGTAACGGTGTTTTAGACTGGTCTCCTCTGATGATGATGTCGTGTAACGGTGTTTTAGACTGGTCTCCTCTGATGATGATGTCATGTAACGGTGTTTTAGACTGGTCTCCTCCTCTGATGATGTCGTGTAACGGTGTTTTAGACTGGTCTCCTCTGATGATGATGTCATGTAACGGTGTTTTAGACTGGTCTCCTCTGATGATGATGTCATGTAACGGTGTTTTAGACTGGTCTCCTCTGATGATGATGTCATGTAACGGTGTTTTAGACTGGTCTCCTCTGATGATGATGTCATGTAACGGTGTTTTAGACTGGTCTCCTCTGATGATGATGTCATGTAACGGTGTTTTAGACTGGTCTCCTCTGATGATGATGTCATGTAACGGTGTTTTAGACTGGTCTCCTCTGATGATGATGTCATGTAACGGTGTTTTAGACTGGTCTCCTCTGATGATGATGTCATGTAACGGTGTTTTAGACTGGTCTCCTCTGATGATGATGTCATGTAACGGTGTTTTAGACTGGTCTCCTCTGATGATGATGTCGTGTAACGGTGTTTTAGACTGGTCTCCTCTGATGATGATGTCGTGTAACGGTGTTCTCTGCTGTTCTTCCTCTCTCCTGCAGAATAAGGCGGTGATGGCCATGGGTCTGCTGAGCATCACGCTGTGTGTCGGGTACATCGGGTATCTGCACGCCATCAGAGAGAGCGACCAGACGCTGTACGAGGCCGTGGACAGCGACGGAGAGAGATACATGAGGAGGAAGACCTCCAGATGGGACTGACCTTCATCATCTTCATCATCATCACTGCAGAGAGAGATACATGAGGAAGACCTCCAGATGGGACTGACCTTCATCATCTTCATCATCATCACTGCAGAGAGAGATACATGAGGAAGACCTCCAGATGGGACTGACCTTCATCATCTTCATCATCATCATTGCAGAGAGAGATAAATGAGGAGGAAGACCTCCAGATGGGACTGACCTTCATCATCATCATCATCATCATCATCATCATCACTGCACCTCACATACATCACACATGAATAATTTATAAACATGAATTGGATATGTCAGTATAGTGAAAGTCTTGCTCTCTTCCTTTATTTCATGTAGTGTGTGTGTGTGTGTGTGTGTGTGTGTGTGTTTAATTACATTTAGCTGATAAATGTGTCATATATTTATAATCTTTCCTTAGTGAAACAGGCTTTAAACGTGATTTTCAAATATGTACCGTGTAAAGGCACTTTTAAAAGAATTGTGTATTAGAGGTAACAGACAGAAAAGTTAAACTAATTTAGCAGCCTGTGATTGTGTTCAACACTCAGATGAAAAGATTGTTCAATAAAATGTTTTTGAGACTGTTTATGTGACTGAACTTGTTGAATGAACTGTTTATGTGACTGAATCTTCAGTTGAGTTCAGTTAGCTTGTGTGTGTTTGTATGTGAGAGAGAGAGAGGGTGTGTGTGTGACGCTGGTTCAGTCAGTCTTCAGTAGTAATGCTCAGTCACGTGATCAAACCTCAGGTCGTGTGTGTGTGTGATTGAACAAACTGCTGTTACTTCACTAAAGCCTCCTTCAGACTGTCCGTGCGAATCTAATTTCTGTGCAGATTCATTTAGAGACCGATCATCATATTCAGCTAATCCTATTTTTACCTATTTGTGTCCGCCACAGAATAAAAAAAAAGTAAAAAGGTAATGGACATTTTATGTCACAACTGCAAGTTTATATCTCACAATTCTTACATTATAACTTAAAATTCTGACTTTTTTCAGAATTGTGTGATATAAACTCGAAAGTGCGAGTTATAACGCAGAAATTGTGAGATATTTAAGTCGCAGTTAGCTTTTTTGTGTTATTCCACGTTTAGATCAGATTCAGTTCACATACACGGATTTGGACTGACAGTGTGAACAGACGCTGGAGCAGAAACAGATCTGAAACCCCACCGAGGCTCGAGTGTGTCTTCATGAAGTGTAAGTGTGCACATGTTCTCTGCAGGAGGAGGAGAGGCTCGAGTGTGTGTCAGGTGTGTGTGTCTCTCCAGCAGGAGGCAGTGCTGCTCCTCACTGACGTCTCTCAATACAACCCCACAACAATATGTGCCACTCAGATGGGTGGTGTGTTGCATGCAGTTATTTTAATAGAGGGAAACAATACACATTTCTAGTTTCAGTATTATTTGTTGTTCAGACATTCCTCTTTAAACACAATAAATCAGCTGTATGCACTGACCCGCATTTGGTAGTGTGTACAATTAATCAAATGTACTCATCAAGATCTCCATATCTCTGGGATTGAACCATGTTGTGCCTTTAATATTTAATTAATGAACATACCAATAGAAATGATTGTTAAAAAATGAATTTGTAAAAAGATATTGAAATATGTTTAATACTTCTTGAGACACAGGCATGCAAACTTTTTGGTAAAAACACTGCGTTTTCACCGTTGGCATATAATGCAGCAACAGATTTAACTAATAGACCTATCAATCTCTATGTAAAAATACAGTAATGATGCTGCCATGTAATGCCCTGTAATCTGACTCCAAATGTCAGGTGAATTATTGAAACTAAAGCCACACTGGTGTTTCTGTCACAGGATCTGCGTGTGTCTGAAGAGCTGATTTTCCTGTTCTGTCCGATTCCTGTAACATCATGTGCTTGTGAACTTAAAGCCAACCTTTAAACGTGTGGAATGTAAAAAGGAATTAGTTTTACCTGTCTAGTTCTACCAGACATGACCGAAAACAATAGTTTTTATTCTTCACCAATCCACTTTTTAGGTCTGATGATGATAAAATGTTCAAAACTTGCCTGTATGGTTTCCTCAAACTGAGTGTTTTTCAGAAATGTCAGCCTATGTCAATAAAGTTATTACAGAAGGGTTTGTTTGTATGCTTTTGTATGCTAAGGTATAAGTTTCCAACTTATGCACAGATCTGTTTGGAATTTTAAAACAAGTAAATGATTGAACAATTTTAAATAATTAATTTAATTTGTTACGTTAAACTTGTTTTTCTAGGTAATTTTATAATAAAGTTTTAAACAAAAATGCCGTTTGTGTACATTCGCATCGTGCGCGCGCTCGTGTTTGTGGGCGTGTTCGCGTGTCCCGTGGCCCCGCCCACCGGCTCTCCGCTATAAAAAAAGCGCGCTCGCTGCCGCTCTGCTCCGGGTCACTCACTCAGCGCTGAATGGGCTCAACATGGCGGACACTCTCGAACCCACTCCGGCTCTTACTCTCTCCCTGTCCCGCTGCAGGAGCAGTGTGTTATAAAGTTCCCGGGGGAGTGTGTCTGCGAACACAGGCGTCAGATGAGAGAGCGTGAAGCGCTGAAGATGAACGGCGCGCGCGCAGGTGCAGGTGAGCAACAAGTGCTTCTGTTAAAGTGGGACTTTACCGTTTCTCAGTGTATAGAGCTGGTCAACTGTGACTTTACCGTTTCTGTTTAAGTCTATAGAGCTGGTCAACCGTTTTCTCCTCGGTTTGTCGTATATTAGACCGTGTAGTGAGCGTGTGTTCGTGTGTGTCGCTCCGCGGTGCTGAACAGTGTTTCGGCTCGTGTGAAGATGAGCCTCAAACATCAGGAGAGAGAGTTATGCAGAACACCATAATCTAAATCATGCTGTGGTCAATAATGGTGATGACATAAGTCAGAAGTGTGACATGCTAAGTAATAATTATTGGATTTAAAAAGACAAAATGATCCCATAAGTTGAAATTATGTGAAAGTTGACATTATGGCATTTCAAGTTATTAAAAGTAGAAAATATGGCCTTTTATGTGATTGACTTTTGGTCAATTAATTTGTGAATTTGACTTCTCATAAACATGACTTGGGTGTGTCATAACTTCACCTTTTTGTCATAACTATGTTTTACAAACGCATGTTTCTCCGTGGTGTTGTGGAGCTGGGCTTCAGAGCAGGTCATTGAAGTGTGTGTGTGTATGTGTGTGTGTGTGTGTGTGTTTCAGGGGTCCCGAGTCCTTCATCCCCGTCCCGGCCCTCAGAGCACGTGCTGAACTCTGGTGCGGTCGTGTTCCCCGGTAAGAGCCGCTGGATTTGCTGTGTGTGTGTGCGTCTGTGTGCGCGTCTCACAAGTGTGTGTGTGTGCAGGTGTGTTTGACCAGCACGGCTGTCCTCTGGTCCTGTTCCCCGCTGAGGCGCAGTGTAAACTCACTGAGGAGCTGAGCAGAGAGGAGGTGTCACACTTCATTCACTACTGTCTGCGCCTGCACAGGTAACACACTTCACACACTACTGTCTGCGCCTGCACAGGTAACACACACTTCACACACTACTGTCTGCGCCTGCACAGGTAACACACACTTCACACACTACTGTCTGCGCCTGCACAGGTAACACACTTCACACACTACTGTCTGCGCCTGCACAGGTAACACACACTTCACACACTACTGTCTGCGCCTGCACAGGTAACACACTTCACACACTACTGTCTGCGCCTGCACAGGTAACACACACTTCACACACTACTGTCTGCGCCTGCACAGGTAACACACTTCACACACTACTGTCTGCGCCTGCACAGGTAACACACACTTCACACACTACTGTCTGCGCCTGCACAGGTAACACACACTTCACACACTACTGTCTGCGCCTGCACAGGTAACACACTTCACACACTACTGTCTGCGCCTGCACAGGTAACACACACTTCACACACTACTGTCTGCGCCTGCACAGGTAACACACTTCACACACTACTGTCTGCGCCTGCACAGGTAACACACACTTCACACACTACTGTCTGCGCCTGCACAGGTAACACACACTTCACACACTACTGTCTGCGCCTGCACAGGTAACACACACTTCACACACTACTGTCTGCGCCTGCACAGGTAACACACACTTCACACACTACTGTCTGCGCCTGCACAGGTAACACACTTCACACACTACTGTCTGCGCCTGCACAGGTAACACACACTTCACACACTACTGTCTGCGCCTGCACAGGTAACACACACTTCACACACTACTGTCTGCGCCTGCACAGGTAACACACACTTCACACACTACTGTCTGCGCCTGCACAGGTAACACACACACTTCATACACTACTGTCTGCGCCTGCACAGATAACACACTTCACACACTACTGTCTGCGCCTGCACAGATAACACACTTCACACACTACTGTCTGTGCCTGCACAGGTAACACACACTTCACACACTACTGTCTGCGCCTGCACAGGTAACACACACTTCACACACTACTGTCTGCACCTGCACAGGTAACACACTTCATACACTACTGTCTGCGCCTGCACAGGTAACACACTCTTCATACACTACTGTCTGCGCCTGCACAGGTAACACACTTCACACACTACTGTCTGCGCCTGCACAGGTAACACACTTCACACACTACTGTCTGCGCCTGCACAGGTAACACTCTTCATACACTACTGTCTGCGCCTGCACAGGTAACACACACTTCACACACTACTGTCTGCGCCTGCACAGGTAACACACACTTCACACACTACTGTCTGCGCCTGCACAGGTAACACACTTCACACACTACTGTCTGCGCCTGCACAGGTAACACACTTCACACACTACTGTCTGCGCCTGCACAGGTAACACACACTTCACACACTACTGTCTGCGCCTGCACAGGTAACACACTTCACACACTACTGTCTGCACCTGCACAGGTAACACACTTCACACACTACTGTCTGCGCCTGCACAGGTAACACACTTCACACACTACTGTCTGCGCCTGCACAGGTAACACACTTCATACACTACTGTCTGCGCCTGCACAGGTAACACACACTTCACACACTACTGTCTGCGCCTGCACAGGTAACACACACTTCATACACTACTGTCTGCGCCTGCACAGGTAACACACACTTCACACACTACTGTCTGCGCCTGCACAGGTAACACACTTCACACACTACTGTCTGCGCCTGCACAGGTAACAAACACTTCACACACTACTGTCTGTGCCTGCACAGGTAACACACTTCACACACTACTGTCTGTGCCTGCACAGGTAACACACTTCACACACTACTGTCTGCGCCTGCACAGGTAACACACTTCACACACTACTGTCTGTGCCTGCACAGGTAACACACTTCACACACTACTGTCTGTGCCTGCACAGGTAACACACACTTCACACACTACTGTCTGCGCCTGCACAGGTAACACACTTCACACACTACTGTCTGCGCCTGCACAGGTAACACACACTTCACACACTACTGTCTGCGCCTGCACAGGTAACACACACTTCACACACTACTGTCTGCGCCTGCACAGGTAACACACTTCACACACTACTGTCTGCGCCTGCACAGGTAACACACTTCACACACTACTGTCTGCGCCTGCACAGGTAACACACACTTCACACACTACTGTCTGTGCCTGCACAGGTAACACACACTTCACACACTACTGTCTGTGCCTGCACAGGTAACACACACTTCACACACTACTGTCTGCGCCTGCACAGGTAACACACTTCACACACTACTGTCTGCGCCTGCACAGGTAACACACACTTCACACACTACTGTCTGCGCCTGCACAGGTAACACACTTCACACACTACTGTCTGCGCCTGCACAGGTAACACACACTTCACACACTACTGTCTGTGCCTGCACAGGTAACACACACTTCACACACTACTGTCTGTGCCTGCACAGGTAACACACACTTCACACACTACTGTCTGTGCCTGCACAGGTAACACACACTTCACACACTACTGTCTGCACCTGCACAGGTAACACACACTTCACACACTACTGTCTGCGCCTGCACAGGTAACACACTTCACACACTACTGTCTGTGCCTGCACAGGTAACACACTCTTCATACACTACTGTCTGCGCCTGCACAGGTAACACACTTCACACACTACTGTGTGCACCTGCACAGGTAACACACACTTCACACACTACTGTCTGCGCCTGCACAGGTAACACACACTTCACACACTACTGTCTGTGCCTGCACAGGTAACACACACTTCACACACTACTGTCTGTGCCTGCACAGGTAACACACACTTCACACACTACTGTCTGTGCCTGCACAGGTAACACACTCTTCATACACTACTGTCTGCACCTGCACAGGTAACACACTTCACACACTACTGTCTGTGCCTGCACAGGTAACACACACTTCACACACTACTGTCTGCGCCTGCACAGGTAACACACACTTCACACACTACTGTCTGCGCCTGCACAGGTAACACACACTTCACACTACTGTCTGCGCCTGCACAGGTAACACACACTTCACACACTACTGTCTGCGCCTGCACAGGTAACACACACTTCACACTACTGTCTGCGCCTGCACAGGTAACACACTTCACACACTACTGTCTGCGCCTGCACAGGTAACACACACTTCACACACTACTGTCTGCGCCTGCACAGGTAACACACACTTCACACTACTGTCTGCGCCTGCACAGGTAACACACACTTCACACACTACTGTCTGCGCCTGCACAGGTAACACACACTTCACACACTACTGTCTGCGCCTGCACAGGTAACACACACTTCACACACTACTGTCTGTGCCTGCACAGGTAACACACTCTTCATACACTACTGTCTGCACCTGCACAGGTAACACACACTTCACACACTACTGTCTGCGCCTGCACAGGTAACACACACTTCACACACTACTGTCTGCGCCTGCACAGGTAACACACACTTCACACACTACTGTCTGCGCCTGCACAGGTAACACACACTTCACACACTACTGTCTGCGCCTGCACAGGTAACACACACTTCATACACTACTGTCTGCGCCTGCACAGGTAACACACACTTCACACACTACTGTCTGCGCCTGCACAGGTAACACACACTTCACACACTACTGTCTGCGCCTGCACAGGTAACACACTCTTCATACACTACTGTCTGCACCTGCACAGGTAACACACACTTCACACACTACTGTCTGCGCCTGCACAGGTAACACACTTCACACACTACTGTCTGCGCCTGCACAGGTAACACACTTCACACACTACTGTCTGCGCCTGCACAGGTAACACACACACTTCACACACTACTGTCTGCGGCTGCACAGGTAACACACTTCACACACTTCACACACTACTGTCTGCGGCTGCACAGGTCACACACACACACACACACACACACACACACACACACACAGAGGAACCGGGTAAAGCTCTGTCTTCACTCATTCCTGACGTGTGTGTGACTCTCCTGGTGTGGAACAGAAGATGTTTTGAAGAATGTCCAAGCTGCTCTTTTCCATAAAACACGAGTGTGTGGTGAATCATTCTGAGCTCCACAACTGCACCATAAACTTCTAATGCAGCATCTGCCCCGTTTAATGTGTTCTCTGATAGTTTGTGTGGTGTATAATGTGTGTTCGGCACTAAACCTGCTCTCAGCTGTGTGTGTGAGCAGGAGAACATCAGTGATTGAGGAGCGGGAGGATTCACACAGTTACTGCTGGAGCTCAAGTGTGAATGATGTACGGGTTTAAACACCGTTGTTAGTAAAGTCTTAAAGGGACAGTTCACAGACTCATCATGTGTTCTCCCTCATGTGACCTGTAGGACTGTGTCTTCTGTGGAGCACATGCTTCAAATGCTTTTAAGCTGAAATGGGTGCAACCTTCAGAAAGACATATTTTACTTTCCACAGAAGAGTCATATGTCATCCTGGTGATTTATTAGTGTTTCTAGTATCTTAAAGGATTAGTTCACCTCAAAATGAGAATTTCCTGATAATTTACTCCCCCAATGCCATCCAAGATGTTCATGTTTGTCTTCAGTGGAAAAAAAATTAAGTTTTTATGGGACATTTTAGGATTTTTCTCCACACAATGGAGTTTAATGGCAACCAAATTGAAGTTTCAAAGGGCTTTGCACGATCCCAGCTGAGGAATAGGGTCTTATCTAGCGAAACCATCGGCCATTTAAAAGAAATGTATATAGTTTTTAACCACAAGTGCTGGTCCGCGACACGCCAGGCATTACGTAATCACGTTGGAAAGGTCACGCTGGACGTGGGGTGGATGTACCGCCCCATTGTTTTAAACATCTAGGATATGCACACGAAAGGACCATTTTAAACAATAAACTGACACAAACACATACATATGTCATTCAACATACAATAAATTTGAACGATTCTCCGCGCTTGTAAACAATGGGGCGGTACTTCCGCCTACGTCCAGTGTGACCTTTCCAACGTGATGACGTAATGCCTGGCGCGTCGCAGACCAGCACAAGACGAACCGTTGTGGTTAAAGTATATACATTTTCTTTTCTTTTTTTTAGAAAATGATTGTTTATATGATATATCCCAGCAGGACAGCACGTTTATATGTGTGAGCAGTTGTATTATAACTGTGAGCTGCTCATCTTTTTCATCATTGTGACGTGAGCAGCTTGGACTTTCTGCTCCACCTCTCGCGTTTCAATGTCTTTATTTGTTGGTGAACTTAAAACCACATGACTGTGTGTGCAGTATCCGGGGTGAGGGTGGCCTGCTGTCTGTGGCCGTTGATCTGAGACGAGCTGATCTCCCCATCACTCGCTTCATCACGGAGACTCTTCTGCTGCTGGAGGTATTCAACACTGCACTATCACTACACCACTTCATCATTCCTCCTCCACACTCCTCCATCATTCCTCCTCCATCATTCCTCCTCCATCATTCCTCCTCCATCATTCCTCCTCCATCATTCCTCCTCCATCATTACTCCTCCATCATTACTCCTCCATCATTACTCCTCCATCATTACTCCTCCATCATTACTCCTCCATCATTACTCCTCCATCATTACTCCTCCATCATTACTCCTCCATCATTACTCCTCCATCATTACTCCATACTCCTCCATAATTACTCACTCCTCATTACTCTTCCATACTCCTCATCATTTCTCCATACTAGTCATTGCTCCATCTCTTCATCACTACTCCTCCATACTCCTTCTTTACTCCATCTCCTCCATACTACTCATTACTCCATCTCCTCCATTACTCCTCCGTACTCCTCCATTACTCCTCCATCATTACTCCTCCATCATTACTCCTCCATCATTACTCCTCCATCACTCCTCCATTACTCCTCCATTACTCCTCCATCATTACTCCATACTCCTCCATAATTACTCCTCCATACTCCTCATCATTACTCCATACTCCTCCACAATTACTCCAGCATACTCCATACTACTCACTCCTCATTACTCTTCCATACTCCTCATCATTTCTCCATACTAGTCATTGCTCCATCTCTTCATCACTACTCCTCCATACTCCTTCTTTACTCCATCTCCTCCATACTACTCATTACTCCATCTCCTCCATTACTCCTCCGTACTCCTCCATTACTCCTCCATCATTACTCCTCCATCATTACTCCTCCATCATTACTCCTCCATCACTCCTCCATTACTCCTCCATTACTCCTCCATCATTACTCCATACTCCTCCATAATTACTCCTCCATACTCCTCATCATTACTCCATACTCCTCCACAATTACTCCAGCATACTCCATACTACTCACTCCTCATTACTCTTCCATACTCCTCATCATTTCTCCATACTACTCATTACTCCATCTCCTCCATCATTACTCCTCCATCTCCTCCATACTCCATCTCTTCCATACTCCTCCTCATTACTCCATCTTTACTCCATCTCTTCATCATTACTCCTCCATACTACTCATTACTCAATCTCCTCCATTACTCCATCTCCTCCATACCCCTCATTACTACTCCATACTCCATCGTTACTCCATCTCTTCATTACTCCTTCATACTCCATCGTTACTCCATCTCTTCATTACTCCTCATCATTACTCCTCATCATTACTCCTCATCATTACTCCTCATCATTACTCCTCATCATTACTCCTCATTACTCCTCCATACTCCTCATCATTACTCCTCCAAACTCAATACTACTCATACTACTCCATCTCCTCCATACTAATTACTCCATCTCCTCCATTACTCCTCCATCTCTTCCATACTCCTTCTCATTACTCCTCCATACTCCATCGTTGCTCCATCTCATCATTACTCCTCATCATTACTCCTCATCATTACTCCTCATCATTACTCCTCATCATTACTCCTCATCATTACTCCTCATCATTACTCCTCCAAACTCCTCCTCTATTACTCCATACTCAATACTACTCATACTACTCCATCTCCTCCATACTAATTACTCCATCTCCTCCATCATTACTCCTCCATCTCTTCCATACTCCTTCTCATTACTCCTCCATACTCCATCGTTACTCCATCTCTTCATTACTCCTTCATACTCCATCGTTACTCCATCTCCTCATCATTACTCCTCCATACTCCATCGTTACTCCATCTCTTCATTACTCCTCCTCGTTACTCCTCCATACTCCTCCTCATCATTACTCCTCATCACTCCTCCTCCATACTCCTCATCATTACTCCTCCAAACTCCTCATTATTACTCCATACTCAATACTACTCATACTACTCCATCTCCTCCATACTAATTACTCCATCTCCTCCATTACTCCATCTCTTCCATACTCCTTCTCATTACTCCTCCATACTCCATCGTTACTCCATCTCTTCATTACTCATCATTACTCCTCATCATTACTCCTCATCACTCCTCCTCCATACTCCTCCTCTATTACTCCTCCTCTATTACTCCTCCTCTATTACTCCTCCATACTCACTCCTCCTCGTTACTCCTCCTCGTTACTCCTCCTCGTTACTCCTCCTCGTTACTCCTCCTCGTTACTCCTCCTCGTTACTCCTCCTCGTTACTCCTCCTCGTTACTCCTCCTCGTTACTCCTCCTCGTTACTCCTCCTCGTTACTCCATACTCCTCCATACTCCATACTCCTCCTCGTTACTCGATACTCCTCCTCGTTACTCCTCCTCCATACTCCATACTCCTCCTCGTTACTCCATACTCCTCCTCGTTACTCCTCCTCCATACTCCATACTCCTCCTCGTTACTCCTCCTCCATACTCCATACTCCTCCTCCATACTCCATACTCCTCCTCGTTACTCCTCCTCCATACTCCTCCTCGTTACTCCTCCTCCATACTCCTCCTCGTTACTCCTCCTCCATACTCCATACTCCTCCTCCATACTCCATACTCCTCCTCGTTACTCCTCCTCCATACTCCATACTCCTCCTCGTTACTCCATACTCCTCCTCGTTACTCCTCCTCCATACTCCTCCTCGTTACTCCTCCTCGTTACTCTCTGATGCTGGTTCACTGCTGACCGCTCTGTTTCTCCTGAATATGAGTGTTTACTCGCCCTCATGTTCATGCAACCCCAAGTTATGTTCAGGACTGTTTTTAAATATTTCTTAAAGATTTAGTAATAGTCCACATGAGCAGAAAGCAGAGTTACTAAGCAGGGTAACCAACTAATAATTTCAATTGGCTTTAATTGCTATTTCTTTATATACTTTTAATGTTCAAGTAATCTTGGAGACTTTTCAGGTGTTTGATTAGGGTTGCAGAAATGCTTTTAAGAGCCTCCAGAAGACTTGTACACATCTACTATACTATAACTATACTACATCTGCTACACTACCTATACTGGGATCTTTAAGTGTTGCTTGCTAAAGTCCACAGATGTTGATGAACGGCAGACAGAAGCTGATTGAGCAGATGTAGTTCCTGAATCTGCCAGCAGGGTGGCGCTGGGTTCTGGGTGTCATGAGACCGTGGCGACTGATTGGTTTAAAACATGACTGAATGAGTCTTGTGAAAGATCATCTGAATAGTGTTTCCACCATTGACGTCAAACCCGGTGTGATGCGTCTTCATGTGCCAAGACTTGACATGCAGCATTACTGGAGCCGCAGCAGAGCCAGACGCTCAGGCACTCGGACACTGGGTTATCAGAGGGGGATACACGTGCGGAGTGTGTGCTCTTCCTCTGTGTGTGTGTGAGCTGAGTGTGTGTGTAAGAGCTCTTCCTCTGAGTGTGTAGTTTCTCTGGCGTTGAGGCTGAAGTCTTGAGTCTGAGGATCACATGCTGCTGTTGGTCACATGTCTGATCTCGTACTGCAGAAACAGTGATTCAGCACGACTGACTGACTGACGTCTGTGTGTGTTGTGTTGCAGTGTGACCGGAGGATCATCCACTCTGTGTACATCGTTCAGCCCAAGAAGAGAGAAGTGCAGAAGCAGCTGGTGAAACTGCTGAGCTCCAGCGCGTCCAAGCAGCGCCGGCCCGTCCTCTTCAGAGTGAGCACACACACACACACACACACACAGTCCTCTTCAGAGTAACACACACATCATGGTCACATGACTTCACCGTCACCCCCACTAAACTCTTTCAGTCTTTATTTAAAAACATTGTTCCCTGAAAGCTTGAGTTAGAAAACAATCCCAAGGGAGTTATAGTGATGTATCTTTTCTTTTTTCTCACTCTTATTTTTTATTGTTTTAGGCAGATCAAACCCAAAACATGATCTCAATTTTGACTGATTACAAAATGCAAAAATAAAAATGAACAATTAAACAAGACCGCGACCAGAAAAAAAAAAACCCTTCAGATTACAGAGTTTCTAATGCTATTCTATATGCTATCCATTTGCCCCATTTTTCTTTAAGTTCAGCTTCTTCCAGTCTTTGAATAAAGGTCATTCTTCCCATGGTGAATATTTCCTGCACAATGTCCATCCACGGAGTATGGCTGGGTGGCTCAGGTTTGAGCCAACTTATCGCTTTCCTCCCTGCCGACAATAATATCTTAACCAAATATCGATCATCTTTCTTTACATTGGACAAAAGGCCCAGATACATTGTTGTAAAAGTTAATGGTACGGAGTACTTCAGTACTTTACAGAAAGTAAGGTGGACAGAGGTCCAGAAAGGTTTTATCAAGCCAGTCCCAGAAAACATGTGTGTGGTTAGCATCCACAGAGCCACATCGCCTCCAACACATTTGTTGGGTGGACAGTTGTTTACCTTTAATATATAGTGAAGTGATGTATCTTATTTCATGGAATAAATGGTGAATTTTCTTCAAACGCGTTAATAAACCCATCGGGCCTCATTTCTCAGTCCCTCCAGAAAAGCGCGATTATGCGATCGCATGATTCAGTGCATAATCAGCCAAAGTCCGCATATTTATGCGGGGCCGCATTTCTTTCAAATACGCCGCACTTTCGCCGCATAAATTGGCGATTTCCGTGCAAAATATGCGGGGCTTGCATGATTTCATAATCCTCACATTTTTGTTGCAAAAATCACATATATCTTAGCAGAAAGTGGTAAATGTTGCGTTTGCTTCACACGAGAGCCGCCGTTTCCCCTGTTGCCATGGGAACGTTATGAAGTGACGTAATTACGCGACGTGAACATCATCGAAAAGCTGTAAAACAGGAGCACACTTTATTTTTATATTTTATTTATTCACTTTTACAGAAGTTGTAGCATATTCCTCTAGTAAAGCTACAGAACTTGTTTGACTCATCAGTGTTTTGTAAGTTTGATGTGTTTATTAAGGTCTGAAATAAAACAAGATGAGAACTGAAATATTCCAGCACTTTCTGTGATGTATATGCTTGCTTATCATAGGAAGTAATAAGAAATTACTCGTATTGCATAAATATCCCGCATATTCCAACGGGCCGCATAATCAAGGCTTTTTGCCCGCAACAATCACTAAAAACTGTTTTTCTGGAAGGACTGATTTCTGAACCAAACGTAGAAACGAACTGTCGTCTTCCGACAGGGTTCAGGTGTGATTCATGAAGCATTCGTACATCTCGCCAATCTCATCGTACGAATAATCATTTGTTGATAAATGTGGCGGCTGAGTTGTTTGAATATCACACCCCTAAAAACTCCCGATTTAGATCCTCACCCCTAGAGTTTAACACGGACAAACCCGGCCGAGAGGAAGCAATCTCAGAGACATTGACTCCAACACCCGATAACCTCGTAATTGCAAACAATCATATTCATTTATATGTATATTAAATACCGGTAAATAAAATGAAACATTGACAAACATAAACTAAGCTTTTTTTCCCTTTACTCCACAACAAATCCTTTAAATATCACTGTATTCAGAACAGGACAAGAACAAAAAATAAGTAGCTATAAATGATATATTAAACTGTAAAATAAAACTTGGGCTATAGTGGCATTCAGTGTAAACCGCACACAAACATCAAGCCAAAATGAATGAATTTAAAAGTGAAACTGTACGGCGTGCTCACCGCTCTCATTGTCTCGAATCTAAATGTTTCTATATTTGCCACGTAACTTTGTTTGGCTGATTGCATTTTAGTTTGAGTGGCTGAAATGAAACTGATTTGTGTGGTGCGTTTGCTTCATAAACGAGGCCGAGTGTGTTCAGGGCGAGGGAACCAGAGCTGCTAGAAGTGTGTGTGTGTTTCCTCCATCCCTGCAGCGCTGTAGGAACAACCCTTTCATTACATGAGAATAACTAGAGCATATTTAATAAATCTGTCACCAGTGCAAGTCGTGACAGCCAGCATTAACCTATCATGGCTAATGTACTTGAGCTGTTTGCAGCAGTGTGTTCACTCACGGTCTTCAACACCACACACACCAACACAACCACCACTGCTCCTCAAACACACACGAGGCTTGCTGTATAACTGACCTCGATTTCTGAACACACGGTTCTTTAATAAAAACATTTAAGAGTTTTTTGTTTTGAATATGTACCTGAACTTTTACCAGATGAATCGATATTGAATCTTGAGCTCGTGAATCTGAATCATTGTTAAATCGTCCTCATTTCCCAGCGCTAGTGTGTGAGCTGAGGAGGGTTCTAACGCTAATGTCTCTGTTTTCCTGCATGTTAACAGCACATTTTCCTCAAAGAGGTGTTCGAGCTTTCCAACTACATCGACAGAAGCCAGTTACCGTCCAGTTTGGGTGGATACCTCATATACTGCCATCAGAGCTGGGCGGCCTTCGTCAAGGTACACGAGTGTGTGTGTGTGTGAGGAACCTGCACTGCATACAGAAAGGTTTGTGTGGCGTTGTTTTTACGATTTAGAATCAGAAGTTCATCAACAATACAAGCAAGTCTAATGAAGGACCCCACCATCATAAGTGTGTGTGTCTATAGGACGACGAGGCCTGATATCTGAGTTCATGTGATGGCCTGTGTTTGTCCCTCCAGCCTTTTCAGATCTGAAACACCCAGGCGCTGCAGAACAGTGTGTGTGTTGGTCATGTCTGATTCTCTGGCTCAGGATAGATCAGTCACGCCACTGCAGGTCTCATGATCGGCTCGATGGCCTTAGATAACAGCGCTGACGCACGCTTCACTCCACAGACCCTCTCGGCTTCGGCACTGTTCACTATGTGCATGTTTAATGTGTGTGTGACTCAATGCGTTTCAGTGTATTCATCATGATCGGCTCTATTGTGTGTCGCCCTGGAGAAGCTTCAGAGGACATCATCTGAAGTCATTAGCAAGTGAAAGATCCCCCCACACACACACCGCATCTCCCGTGCTTGTCCTCGCCGCGGCCTCTCTTCAGGGGTTGATCACGCCTTATAGATCTGACACACGGGCTGCTCTGAGCTGATCAGGTGTCGGTGTGTTTACACCGCAGGGAACCGGGTCTAAGTGAAGTTCTGGGTAATTTCCCCTCAGAGTCCCTGCTCGCGAGGTAGTAGTGCTTCAACGTTCAGGAACTTTCAGGGGCGGGACTTGGGCTCTGGACATGCTGACGGTTTTCTCCAGAGCGGCTATATGTATAAATGAACTAAACTTTTATTGGAAAAAAAAAAAAAAGAACATCACTGACCTTAAGCTGGACTCTGACGCTATTTTCTTCTGGAAACAAACTGTTGCATTATTTCCTGTTATCTCTGTAACGCTGCTTTGAAACACTTGTAAAAAGCGCTACATGAGTGACGCTGACTGGACTATAGAGCTATAAGGCCATCTAGTGCCTATAGTCATGAATTATCATGTTATATATATTTTTTTTCCCCACAAGAGGTCAGCAGAGACACCCAATGTAAGATATTTTGAGCTGAATTAAAAGGGTTATGCATGAAATTGAGTTATATTGAGGTTAAGTTGAAAGAATGTGAGGAATGTGCTTAAATGAATATTTATTTATTGATCAAATCTAGTAATTTAAAGGTAAATAAAATACGAAAATCTGAAAAAATTGCATTAAAAATAGAGAATTTTAGGGCTTCGGGTCATTTTGACCCGCGAGGGAAAGATGTGTCAAGTGCGAGGGAAGGATGAGGGTTAATACTGCTGTGTGTGTGTGCAGGTGATGGATGTGTTTGTGCAGCAGTTCCTGCTGGTGGTGAAGAGACTGCCCTCCTGCATCTCCACTCTTCAGGCGCTCTCCAAGCTCCCCGTTCCTGATGACCTCCAGCGGCTGCGGGACTTCTGCTCGCTGAACCAGGCCCGTTTCCAGCAGCTGAGGAGGTGTGTGTGTGTGTGAGCCCCTCACTGAACCCCATAGTGCTCCGCTAAGAGTTTCAGATCCGATCTTTAACTCTCAGTCATTGAATGTGTAGAGCGCTATGATGAAACACGCAGTTTACTGTATAACGAAATGGCAGAATTTGGCATAATTGAGTGAGATTCAAAGATCTGGAGTAACTCAAGAGTAGGACACTGAGGTGGTGATATGGACCAGAGTTATGAAGAGGCACATTTATTCATTACTTCTATTCAAAGCCAAAACTTGAAGTGTTATGTCAGCGTTGTGTTTCTCTTGATACAAGTCATAATCGTTATACAATCTTTTGAAGACGTATTCACATTTACACGCACTAAATATAAACCATGCATTCAATTCAGTACTTCTATATAGAGTTGCTCTAGCAAGTGGCAAAACTTTTGTTAAAATCACAAACATTCTTAATGATCTTACAAAACAGCCTTTTCTTTTGCGTTTAAATCTTTATGCAAGAAATCCTGCGGGTCACAGACCCCACAGAGGTCACTGTAATCCGTCTGCAGGAGATCTTAGAGCAGACTGTTCTGTTCTGTGTGTGTGTGTGTAGGGATCTTGGTTTAGATGACCTGTTGAAGCACTGTGAGTGTTTGCTGGAGAAGCTGCGTTTCCCGGAGAACGATCCCTGCTTTCAGGCCATGGCTGGAACGGTCCTCTACACACACACCGCTCTGGAGATGCTGCGCAACTACAACCGGTACGTGTGTGTTCGTGCAGCTGAGACTCCAGAAACGCATGTACAGATGTGTTGTGTGTGTGTGTCAGGATCAGGTCAGCGGTGCAGAAGGTGGAGCTGCTGTGGACTCAGGTGTTCTCCAGAGCTCAGGTCCAGCTACAGATGCTGCGTCTGCAGAGAGAGGCTCGACAGGTCAGGAACACACACATCACGGTGTTAATCTGAGGACAGATGAGTGTAACAGCTGTGTGTGTGTCAGATCCAGGAGCAGATGGTGGCGCTGTACCGGCAGAAGCTGCAGGCGTACAGGACTGAAGTGGCTGAAGACACACACACGGCTGAGGAGCTGCTGCTGCAGTTTGAGGCGTCCGTCTACACTCATGCCATGGTACACACACACACACACACACACACACACACACACACACACACACACACACACACACACACACACACACACACACACACACACGGCTGAGGAGCTGCTGCTGCAGTTTGAGGCGTCCGTCTACACTCATGCCATGGTACATGCCCTCCTCTCTCACACACACACACACACACACACACACACACACACACACACACACGGCTGAGGAGCTCCTGCTGCAGTTTGAGGCGTCCGTCTACACTCATGCCATGGTACATGCCCTCCTCTCTCACACACACACACACACACACACACACACACACACACACACACACACACACACACGGCTGAGGAGCTGCTGCTGCAGTTTGAGGCGTCTGTCTACACTCATGCCATGGTACATACCCTCCTCTCTCACACACACACACACACACACACACACACACACACACACACACACACACACACACACACACACACACACACACACACACACGGCTGAGGAGCTCCTGCTGCAGTTTGAGGCGTCCGTCTACACTCATGCCATGGTACATGCCCTCCTCTCTCACACACACACACACACACACACACACACACACACACACACACACACACACACACGGCTGAGGAGCTCCTGCTGCAGTTTGAGGCGTCCGTCTACACTCATGCCATGGTACATGCCCTCCTCTCTCACACACACACACACACACACACACACACACACACACACACACACACACGAGGAGCTCCTGCTGCAGTTTGAGGCGTCCGTCTACACTCATGCCATGGTACATGCCCTCCTCTCACTCTCTCACACACACACACACACACACACACACACACACACACACACACACACACGGCTGAGGAGCTCCTGCTGCAGTTTGAGGCGTCCGTCTACACTCATGCCATGGTACATACCCTCCTCTCTCACACACACACACACACACGCGCTCTCATCACGCACGCGCTCACATGTCAAGTCATCTTCATTTATCAGGGCTTAGGGCTGGGAATCAAATACTTGAGGTCAGGAATCGGACATTAACATTTCGATTCCTCTTATTGATTCCTCTGAGCATTTCAATATGACTTCTCAAGCGCGAGATGACTTCTGTGCATCCAAAGCGCGCTCACAGAAAAAGTGATTTTATTGTTTCAAAACATTCGACACATAAACAGGGTTCTCTACAACAGTGGTTCTTTAACTGAACGGCAAATTTGTTTGCATACCCCAGTATATTCTACTCCACCTTAAAATAACATTTAAAACTGAGCATGTATTTGGTAAAATGCTGTAAATGCATGACATCTGATCAAATTACCTCATCTTTCGCGGTCAACTGCCTGCATCCACACAAGCCAGCAAACCACGCTACATCACTGCTGTTCTGGCGATGCACCTTTGTAAAAGTGCAAAGTGGGGATTTAGCACTTACTAGCGTGAAGAACAAATACTGTATAGACACAGACTGTGCATAGAGATCGATTTAAGATTAAAACTCTTCAATACAAAAACACCCTGTGTTAGTAGTTTTAATGTTGATCATATATTATACAAGCAAGAATGTAATGTTTCCCGAATATCCACACGATTGTAAATGTGACGCTGATTTTGAAACCGTAATATTAAGCTATGTTGATTTTAATTTGATTTTAATTGAATTCATTATTTTTGCTCCATTTTGCAACATAAAAAGTTTTCAAAATTCATTCACAGCACACTGTTTGTGAAATGAATGTGTGGCTTTGAACAAATCGTGATAATTCAATGATTTATTCATAAATGCAACCACTTGCTTCGTTACTGGATGAATAAATGAGTCACTCATAAAGACAGTGACTATGCCACCTCCTGGCGGTTAGATTAATATTTAAAAGTATCGTTTTTACCGTAATTGCATGTTTCTCTATTGAACATCTGAAGGCAATCACACACGCTGTGGAGGATACAGTATTATGTGGCCGTGTACTGGCGTTTCTGAAGGAGGAAAGTGCTTCTAAAGATCCAAAATGATAGAAGATTAACTTTTTTTTACAAATATTTAACTTTTTTCGTGCAAAAAACTGAGCTAATCTCCAGAAACATGATATGAATATCTGATGTATTGAATGAAATGCCAGTGTCCTAACCAGGCAGATGCAGTGAGTTTCCAGAGACGCAGAAGATATCTGCTGTTTAATGGCGGTTGTGTGTTTCTCTGTGGATGTCCCACTGAGGCGACTCGATCGCCCCTTTGCTTTGGTGTCCGGCTAACCTCTTGTCTGCCCCCTCCTCTGCCCAGGCGCTGGTCCGGCGCGCGGAGGACGTCATGCACACGCTGGCGGAGACGGTCCCCGAGGCCGAGCGGACGCCTGCGCTGCCGTGGCTGCAGGACCTGGAGCGGCTGAAGCAGAACCTGTGCTCTGCGGTCCGGCGTCTGGACCAGACCCTGAGGAGCGCCGCCGACTTCCATCACGCCCGCGACCGAGTACGGGACCGCCGCCAGTCTCTCAGTATCAGCATGTGCACATTCACACAGGGGTAGCAACTTATGAACGGGGGAAACGCTGCTGTTAATGGCCGTGGGACAATTTGTACAATAATTTGGTACGAATCCATCTGGTAGAAACTTGTCAAATTAGACGGATAAACATGGTCAAGGAAAATGTGACCCAGGCTGGCTCCAAGGGCCGTGATTTTTAAGTTTGATAATGTTTTAGATTTATATTAGTATTTTTAGGGGTTTTATGGTACTAAATTATATCTACGCAACATTTATTATCCATTTATTCACTTTTTGAGCATAGACCTGCTCAAAATGAAATTTCCAGCTTAAACTGTCATGAATCTCGAATGCTTTAGAGCACAGACTTCAGTTTAGTCTCTTTTCAAAGACGACACTTGGCAGATTATTGCTGTGGTGAAAAGTAATTTAAAAGTTACAGAATTTTAAGTTTATTATGAAAAATGCACAAAATACTATTTAAAATTTTTGTATGAAACCTATATTGTCACAACCTATATTTTATTTATATAAACATATATATACATATATAAAAAATTTAACTTTAAATTAGACCATTTTATTTTTAGAATAATGATTATAGTAAACTGTGCATCCCTTTAAACATGAATAGCAAACCAGATTTTTAATCCGAAAATTAAAAATTGGGTTTTATTTTTTTGTTTTTTTTCACCAAGTGGTGCAGCCGTAACCCAAACTAAGTTAAACGTGTTACTCTTAGTGGTTTTCAGCAGGTGTTTCTTTAAAGGGATACTCCACCAGTTTTTCTTATTAAACTATGTTATTCCCTTAACTAAGACGAGTTGATACATACCTCTCTCGTCTCAGTGCGTGCACTATATCGCTCTGTATTGCCGCAAAACTATGTTAGCACTTAGCTTAGCCCATGCATTAAATATGGGCCAAGCAGAGAAGCGACCAAACACTTCCACGTTTTCCCTATGTAAACACAGTTACTCGAGTAGTGTAACTTGACCTGGGCTGGTGACACAAAATAAACCGTTGCGCTTTTCTAAGCGTTTAAAATTGATGACTATATTATATGGCGGAATACCATAACAAGTGCTTTTGAGCACTTCGACTTGGCGCAATAATATCTTCACTCGTGAAAAGTCCTCTTACCGGCTCCCGCTTCCTCTCCCCCTCCCTCTGACATTTCCGTCAATACAACCAACGTGACATGCGCCGGTAGTAGTAGTTCGAGCGGAGTTGACGAAGTAACAGGTTGTTGGAAGCTAGTTTGTATACAATCATGGTTAAAACGTGCATCGTAAAGGGTTGTGAAAATAAGGAGAATGTACATAGTGCTGTCATTTTTCACCGAATTCCAACACACCACATACAGCGGAGAGCTTGGTTAGCTGCTTTCGGGAAAGCTCCGGTCTGTTCTGGATCATATCTTTCTTGCCTCTCACGGTCCACAAGAGCTAATTCCTCCTCCGTGTACTCGGGTTCAAACAGATATGGCTCTGGGTCTTCTACAAAGAAGTCATAATCATCTACAAAGTCCGCCATTGCAAATGATCTGCAGTTTGCTAATAGCACAGCACAGGTAGTAAAAGTCACGTTGGTTGTATTGACGGAAATGTCAGAGGGAGGGGGAGAGGAAGCGGGAGCCGGTAAGAGGACTTTTCACGAGTGAAGATATTATTGCGCCAAGTCGAAGTGCTCAAAAGCACTTGTTATGGTATTCCGCCATACAATATAGTCATCAATTTTAAACGCTTAGAAAAGCGCAACGGTTTATTTTGTGTCACCAGCCCAGGTCAAGTTACACTACTCGAGTAACTGTGTTTACATAGGGAAAACGTGGAAGTGTTTGGTCGCTTCTCTGCTTGGCCCATATTTAATGCATGGGCTAAGCTAAGTGCTAACATAGTTTTGCGGCAATACAGAGCGATATAGTGCACGCACTGAGACGAGAGAGGTATGTATCAACTCGTCTTAGTTAAGGGAATAACATAGTTTAATAAGAAAAACTGGTGGAGTATCCCTTTAAGGGATGATGGTTTATATTGTGAGACCCATCACGGTGTGGAACTACTGTGTGTATATGATATCTAAATGAGCGTGTGTTTCTCAGTGCAAGAGCTGGTGTGAGCGAGTGCTGGGCGAGAGCCTCCTGCAGGAGCTGCTGTGGAGTGAGCACTGCGGGGGTCCGGCCGAGGGCGGCTCGCGGAGACCGGGAGTCCAGGCCTTCCTCAGGAGAGACCCCGGCCCAGAGGAGGAGGAGCTGGTGACGCTGGCACGCCTCGCCCACAGCATGAGCGAGCCCAGCCTTCAGCAGGCCGGCTCTCAGCTCTCGCACAGGTGCGCTGCCACACCTTCAGTCCAGGCACACGCACACATGGCTGCTTTGAACTCTTAATGTTGGTCTCTTAGCACATCTCCTGATATCTGAATATCTGTCAGGTCATCTTACTGTGATCACATTTATGACCTGAGAGAGAACAGGCCACAGATCTGTGTGCACCCCTGCAGCAATGCTGACAATGCCATAAAGCACACTAAACACTGATAACTACCAGAAATCATCTTAAGTGACCCGTTTCACTGGTTTACATGCAAACCAATAACCCAGCAGTACAAGAACCATGTTTGCAAGACCTTTTTTAAAAATCTGCTTATTCCCCGTAATTAATCACAAAGTAATCATTGTTGACATTTAAATTTCAAAATGTCTACAGGAAGCTCATTCTCCTCTTGATGACCACAGCTTTTCCTTTGGCTGCATGAGAACACATTATCATGGTCAAGAAAACGGTGTAATGCATTATTGTCTTGAGCATAATCCTTTTAAAAACATTAGGGGTGTAACGGTTCACATTAATCACGGTGTCGGTACGGCTCGGTATGCGTTATCGTCAGGGGGGAAAAGGAGTACTGTCAAAGTAAATAAAAATAAAGAAAATAAGCACAAATAATCAAACTACAAGCAACAGCAGGAACACAATGGAGCAAAGATACAAATAAAATTGTGTTTTTCAGGTAGGTTTAAGTACAGTTTTCAGGCAGAGAAATTGAGTAATCAAATGTAAAATATTGCATATAATCTTCACTATAAATTAAATAAATATTAATTGTTAAACTTACACAAGCTATTCAGTCAAGAGCAGAGTGATTTCCTTGATTAACATTAATAAACAGACCGCAGGAATATTAGGCTGCGGTCACTTTAAGACATAATACACTGAGACCGACACATGCAGGCTTATTTTACTGTTTACGTTCATTTAAGATGTAACCTACGATATCTGCTGGTATGACTGTTCAATGCGAGTGACAATGCTCTATATGACCAAAGATTGATTGTTGTCCATGTTTTAACCATCGCTGTTCCACATATTGGACAGCTACTTGGGTGAAACGCATGTCCATCGACTGAAACGTGCATTAACTGACGTGTTTTACTTCCCCCAACGAGCCGTAGTACAGATGCGTTGTCAGATTTGGCATTAAGCGCAGCACAAGTGTGTGCCGAACCATAGCTGGAGAGTGCGGTTTTGTTTTTTAGTTGGGAACAGTTACACCCCTACAAAAATATCCATGTACACGTTCAATGTGATTTTTGCCCAGATGTGTTCCTGGATCAGTGTTTTTATTAGTCGTTGACCAATAGTCCTAAACCATACAACAGGAAATGAGGGGTTGGTGATGTCACTCCAGTCCTAAGCCTTGCCTTAAACCCTACCGGTTTGCTAAGCCAGACTGACGTTATTAACATTGTGAATCTGACAAACATTCATTCTTTCATTCTGTCATTTCGTCTTTCTAATGTACATTTTATAAACCTCTACTTTGTGTTGTGACCTTGGCATTAAACATACAGTAAACTAAACACTACTGTGTGTTTCTAACACAGCAGCTGAAGGTGCGATGGCAAATTTGACATCTATCTTCTAGCCTATGCAGTCAATCTCTCTTTCTTCCTATTTTGGAAAGTCATGGAAATACTATCGTGCATTTAAAAAACAAAAGTATGCTATTAGAGCAGTCGGGAATGCAAAAATCTTATTTTTAGTTTGTTCACCGTTATAATATACCCAACTCTGACGACTTCTGCTTCTGAGAACCCCTGTACATGTGGAAAGGTTAAGGGTTTTTAGAAATCCTGTACGGGTGTGTTGATCCAGAAACTCCTTGGCAAAATGGCGGGCACAAGCTTGTTGAATGTGGATTTGTTTGCGTGACGAGTGTTGATGTCGGTCCACAGATGCATGACCCTGAGGAGACTCTTGACCTCCACGGGTGCGGTTCCCCTTCATGACCTTCACCTCGCCCTCCAGTGGCAGTACGAGTACCTGAAGGGTCACCACAAGAGCTCTGACATCACTTCCCCCGAGGACCAGCAGCACACCTGCAGTCTGGCTGCAGACTCGGCCCTCGCCCGGCCGGCGCTCGTGGTGTCCCCCTGCGAGGGCGTGTGTGGTGTGTCCCGCTGGCCCTCTGTGGAGGCCTCGCCAGCCGCAGCCAAGCCGCCCTCGCTCAGCTCCTTCGACTCCGGCTTTGACGGGGCAGGGAACACTCATCCGCATCACCGGAGCAGGAGGGAGAATCTCCCGAGGTTTCTGGGAAACGGAGACTCCGCGTTCAAGTCGAAGCAGATTCACGAGGACATTGTGAGCGTGTCTGACTCCGAGGAGCAGCCTGAGGAACGAGGGTTCGGGTTACAGCGGGCCAGTATTCAGATCGTCCCCAAAATAACCTCCGACTCTGTGAACCTGGAGATCAAAGTGAAGCGCTCGTCCACGCTTCCCAGAAACCCCTGGCTGAGCCTCCCGATAGATGACCTGGAGAGCTCCTATACGGTGACCATTACGCCCGGCTCCTCCCTCCCGCGGAGCCCCAGTCCCTCGGGCCGGCCGCAGGACCAGCCGACGCAGACACACCTGACGCAGACGCACCCGAGCTTCGAGGAGTCGGAGCTGAATCCCGTGGGAAATGTCCTGTCCAGCACCCTAACGGACAGTGAGGAGAAGCCCAGCTGCACTGTGGATGGGGATCCTTCTCTCCTGTGGGACTCCTTCGACCTGCACAACCTCAGACGGGACTCTTTTGAGCGGTAAGGCCGTCCATGGTGTTTCTCTAACGGTGTTTAATTGTGGTGTGGCCTCTTTAAGGACTCGTGTCCTCCTGTATTGGGTAGGTTGGACGTGTCTCTGGGCGACTGGGCTCAGAGAGAGCAGCAAGAGCTGAAGGAGGTGGAGACGACGTTAGAGCGAACCGCTGAGATCTTACAGGTGAGTGTCCCCGAGCCTCGGGTTACGCTTCGACAGGTTTATGAAGCAGTGTGATGTGGTCTCACTCCTAGCGGTGTACATGAATCACTGACAAATCTAGAATCATCAATGACACATGTACGCTACGTCACATACTGTTCAGTTATGAAATATCTATATACAGAGTAGAATACAGCTGTCTAGTGCAATTTTAGTTTTAGCAATCTCTTAGTTTTTATTAATATTGTTTTTGTAATTTAGTAGTTTCTGCCTTTTTTGCATCTATCTAGGTTGTTGTCCCTTTCATTGCACAGGGCATTTACTGAGCGAAACATGCTCTTGCTCGACTGTTTCACCCGCCATGATTTTTTTTTTTAATTCCCTTTGAAATGCTTTGATTCAGTTTATTTGAAATGCACAACTCGCTCACTGACAGACATCTGCTTTCAAATGCTTACGTCAAGTAACATTTATTTATATAGTGCTTTATGCAATACAGGTTGTTTCAAAGCAGCTTTAAAGGGATAAACCAGAAAATAAGTGCTTGTTTATTCTGAAGTATGCTTGCGGTTCTCTGCTGTGACTAAGCGGTTAAATGCACTTAAATCTACAAATGCTTTTAGGATGTGAAATTGATGTAAAATTAATGTAAACTGTCTGTTATATCTGATATAACATCTAATATGTTTAAGTAGATCTGGGCATTAGTGTGAACGCAGACCCGCCGTCTGTCATCAGTAACAATCAAACCGCAATAATGCTGACCTTGCTTGTCTGGAAAACATTGATACTAAGGGTTAGTTCAACTAAAACTAACCCGCTTAATTCATATGGATTCGTTTTACGATCTTGTTATAAACGTTTTTGAAGAGTCAAAGTGGTAGTTGCGATGCTGTCAATGGAGGGACAGAAATCTCTGATTTCATCCAAAAGATAATTTGTGACTTCAGCTGATAACCCGAGATGTACGTTTTCTCCTTGGCTTGCAGTTAACAGCTAAAAGTTGTGCTTTTCTCCTTGCCCTGCGCGGTGACCTTGCAGCTGAAGCGATTGACCTGATTATGAGGTCTTGTTTTCAGGAGGAAGAGGATGTGCTTGCTCAGGAGGTGGTCCTGGATGAGCTGTTGCGGTCCGAGGATCTGCACAAACACTGGCCCGTGTGGACTGAAGCACGCCAGCACAGTACGGTGAGTCTCTCGGGGAGGTCAGGAGCAGGTGACCATTCGATTTCTGCAAAGAGTTTATTATAAAGAGACTGTGATTGCCTGAGAAGAACCGTGCTCTGACTTGGGCTGTGCAATTAATCGCAAAACAATCACGATTTGAGCACATGCGATTTCTAAACCGCATAAGGCTGGGATTTTTATTTAAGATATTTATATTTCAATTCAGAATACTGCAATGTTCTTGTGCGCATGTTTAAGATGTTAACCAATCAGAGCTCACTCAGCGCACCGCGCAAATTACGACGGAGCTGAGCGGGAGAACAGAATAGGTGAACGGGAGGAAAGAACATAAAATGTGGATGCAGGTCATACAGTAAATTAATGAAACCGGAGAGTTGGTGTGTCTGTGCTCTTTGGTTTGTGTTAGGAACTAGGAAGGAAGTATGAATATTTGAACATTAATTTTTTGTTCCAGATGTCCCCACAAGATCTGGCGGAGTCTGGCGTGATCGGATTGGATGATGTCCTTCAGAGTGAACCCTCTTCCTCAGGCTCTGAGACTCTGAAAACTAGTGAAAGCGACTCTGACGCCCCGGGATTAGGCGATGAAAGTCCATCGAGTGAAAGGCCTGTGCAGCTGGACACGAGATGTCCTGAGGTGGACAGAAGTGGGATCCTTCGAGAGCTTAGAGATCTTCAAGTTCTTGATGAGCAAATAATGGAGGAGCAGTTGAAACTGGAAGCGCAGCGCTGCACTGAGACTGAGCCGCTTCAGGCGGAGCAACGGACGCTGGGTCATGTGACCACACGCAGCTCCTATAGGGAGAGGAGGCTGTTCCTGGCACAGCTGGAGGAGGAGAGACGGGAGGTGGAGAAGATGGAGAGAAGCTTGAGCAGAGAGATGAACAAGAACAAGGTGAGGACAAGCTCAAGCAAAGGCTGTAGAGTTGTCAAGTGTTCGGTCATGGAGAGGAACTCGAAGCTGAAAGATCTGGACGGCGAGCTGTTGAGGAACTGCAGGCCCGAATCTACCCGTCAAACACAGTGTGCCAGTCCATCGCCTCCAGATCGAGCCGAAGATGCCAGTCTCTCAGATGCGAGCTTGACTCAAGATCGAGCTGAAGATGCCAGTCTCTCAGACGCGAGCTTGACTCCAGATCGAGCTGAAGATGCCAGTCTCTCAGACGCGAGCTTGACTCCAGATCGAGCTGAAGATGCCAGTCTCTCAGACGCGAGCTTGACTCCAGATCGAGCTGAAGATGCCAGTCTCTCAGACGCGAGCTTGACTCCAGATCGAGCTGAAGATGCCAGTCTCTCAGACTCCAGCTTGACTCCAGAGCCTTTGAGTTCAACAAGCGGGTCTGTTCCTAACACGAGCTTGAGTGAGATTGGGATCGGAGGTCCTGCAGCTCCTGACTCCGCTCCCGGCTCAGAATCCCTTCAGGAAGCCCCGTCTTGTCAAGGAGAGCCTTTTGTATGGAGCAGTTTTTCTACTCCCGTTCAGAAACTGGAAGCTATGGATGCCACTGAAGGCCCCAGCGGCCATCCTGAGCATCCCGAGGGTGAGACGTCTTCCTGCGCCTGCACAGACGGTGGTGATTCTGCTGCGGATCAAGCTGAGCTGGAGGCTAGTGCTAGTGAAGATGAGATGGAGGCTAGTGAAGCGCAGCTAGAGGTTAGTGAAGCTCAGCTGGAGGCTAGTGCTAGTGAAGATGAGCTGGAGGCTAGTGATAGTGAAGATGAGCTGGAGGCTAGTGCTAGTGAAGATGAGCTGGAGGCTAGTGCTAGTGAAGATGAGCTGGAGGCTAGTGCTAGTGAAGATGAGCTGGAGGCTAGTGCTAGTGAAGATGAGCTGGAGGCTAGTGCTAGTGAAGATGAGCTGGAGGCTAGTGCTAGTGAAGATGAGCTGGAGGCTAGTGCTAGTGAAGATGAGCTGGAGGCTAGTGCTAGTGAAGATGAGCTGGAGGCTAGTGAAGCGCAGCTGGAGGCTAGTGCTAGTGAGGCTGAGCTGGAGGCTAGTGCTAGTGAGGCTGAGCTGGAGGCTAGTGCTATTGAAGCGCAGCTGGAGGCTAGTGCTAGTGGAGCGCCCTTGACCCAGAACAGCGGTGCGGTGCGAGATGCGTTTGATCCCGGCGGCGTCCTGGTCGCTCCTGTGGCTGCACCGCGGAGGCCCGTTCCTCTCGACGGCCGCTCTGAGAGACCGCCGTCAGCCTCTGAACACACAGGGACTGGAGCACCGGTGGAGTCAGCCGCTCCCTCAGCGCCCGACGCCTGCGCACAGAGCACATCTCAAGGCCTGCACATGCAGAACAACAACAACAACACCGCAGTGCTGCGCCGCGGAGAGACCTCGCGCTCCTCCGCGGCGATCCCAGAGACGCAGGCGCTGACCAGCCCGCAGGAGGACGCCGTGGCCAGGCCGTGTGAGGGTGTGCCCCGTGCCGGTGGAGGCTCCACGAGAGCGGCCTGCAGATCTGCACTCCACCAGCTCGACACCTACAGACAGGTGCGCACCAGGGCCGGTGAGGGGAGCACTCTCGTTGGGTTAGAGTAGGGGGTGCGTGGTGTGTATCATCTGTGGTGATAACGTAAATTGTGTTGAGTATGGCACTCACTTTGAAAATGCTGCACACTGACGACGGTGCACTGCTTTATTGCATGACGTAACCTAGTAGACTGCAGTTAATATTGAGTTACGCTTTTATTGTCATTTTTTTAACAACCATAGTTCCAAACAAAGCTGTACATCTCAGTGTTTCCTTGCCAAATCAATCAGCGTTTTTGAACGAATCTGTGATTTTTAACTGATTAATTTATAAAAACCGTTGCTGTCAGGCCTGAAGCAGTCGGATATAATCTGTTAATACCGCACACCCGTATTTGACAGTGTAGTCGTAACTATTTGAGGCTCTGTCCCAGACTCTAGTGAGCTGTTCACTTAAGCACTTGAAGGATGTAAAGTGAAGTTCACTAGGGTTTGGGTTTTCTCTTCCGTGTGTGTGAGACGCACTGAGCCTGAGCTGCCGTGTCTGGTTTCTTCCCTGCTCTGAGTTAGATGAGTGATTATCAGACGGCCATCGTGCTGGACAGCGGGTCGGGTTTGATGAAGGCAGGGTTTGCAGACCAGGATCTTCCAACCACGGTGTTCCCGACGGTCATCGGCCGGCCCAAATATGAGGTATTCTCGCTCTCTCGCTCTGATACCATAATAGAAAATCTCATTTTAATCTAAATTGTCTCATTTAGCAGATTAGATCTGGACGATAAAGCATGAAGATATTATATACATTAGTGCTTTCCACAATATATCAGGAAAAAAAATGTTAGTCAAATAGGACTGGCTCGACTAGCTCAGCCGTGTGTTCATGTGTCCTTGTGTTGTTGGTCTGGGCTGATGGTGGTGATGGTCTGGCTCTCCAGGAGATCCTGAGCGGTAGCGTGGACCGAGCGGTGTACATCGGGCACGATGCGCAGCACATGAGAGGAGTGCTAGCGCTGAAGTATCCCATCAGGAACGGCATAGTGCGCAACTGGGATGAGATGGAGATGGTGAGTGCTCTTAAGAGGAGGTCTCTTTAATGTTCCCTTCACTGCAGTATGTTTAGGTTCGGATGTTCTTTGACTGACATGAGGGGTTTCTTTCTGCCTCGTTTGATCACAAATCCTGCTGATGACATGAACGCTGCTTGGTTTGAGAGGGATTTGTACACCGCTACACTACAGTATTAAGAATGGACAATAGCCCTCACATTTTCACTGGTGTATCCAAACATTCACGGATTCCTATTGAAACGATTCACTGCTGTGGTTCACATGCACTCAGTAATCTGTTTATAATCAGATTGATGGATCAGCTGCACTGAAAAGCCTTTATGTAAACACCTAAACAATCCCAGTTACTTTCTGATCGTAGATGTAGACCTGAAATAATCTGATCAACTGGGGAAAGTATGTAAATGCTTGGGTCAGACTCTTTTCTTCATCAGGGTCACTAATACCTTGAGCACATGTTTAGTGCTGTTATATATGAGCTGGCCAGTGAGCGTGACGTGCTGGCGCACCGTGTGTGTGTGCTGAAGCAGGGCTGGGCGATAAGGCAAACACATCTTATCATGATTCTGTTTCAAGTTGGTTTTACTCTTTTGCATTACAGCCAAACTAATGTCCCTATTTTAAAAACAAAGCCTTGGGTAACGCAATCTAATATAAAAAGGGCTGACATTTAGGCCAAAGTGGCGAAGATAAAAATCTTTTTTCTTCATTAAAAAAATAAGAACGCCAAAGATGCACATTACACAACTTAATATACAAATTAAATAAACAGTGCTTTTATTTTTTTCAGATACAGGAGGTGTATTTAGCAGTAGCATTGAAGAAAGTAATTAAATGATCAAATATGTAATTAAAACACTACATAGTAGCTTTAATAGACTTCACTGTATACATTATACATTAATTCTTAAAGTTCTCAGTCAGGGAGTGATTTTCTGTGTTTTGTCGTTTTATTAACATTATGACAATTTTCATTTTTGGGGGAACTATCCCTTTAATTTACTCTCTCAAGTTGTTTTAAACCTGAATAAGTTTCTTTCTTCTGTTGAAAATAAGTTATTTTGAAGAATGTGTAACCAAACAGTTGCTGGTCCGCAGTGTATAGTTCTTTCTCCTGTGGAGATCAGCAACTGTTGGGTTACACACATTCTTCAAAATATCATCTTGTGTTCAGCAAAATAAATAAATACAGGTTTGGAACATTAGAGTGAGTAAATGACAAAAGATAGTTCACCAAAAAAAAAAATATTCTAAGGACAAGTGCCAGCATGTTTACTATTAGGCTACTGTCACTTTAAGACCGGCTCACATCAAATATACACGCATATGACACACACCTGATTTCCTCTCAAATGTTTGCTTTCACTTTAGACATAACCAACTGTTTTATGCAAAGCTTGTGTGTATTTAACAGTATTAGGAGCAGTGAGACTCGAAAGATAACGTAGTCCAGTGTCCAGGTGCTGTTTGACAGGCTTTAGTGCCCGTGCACTTCGGGTGTACGCGCTCAGAAAAGCACACGTTAAAATGGCATCAATGAAATGTTTAACCAGCAAGACTTTAAAGCACATGCAAATAATGAACGTTTGTGAATTGCAGTGTCCCGTGAATGTAACTCTACCTCTGCATTACCGTGTGATGTGAATGTGCGTCGTGTTGTACAGTATGTTGAGACGGCGGCGTCAGAACTGAACTGATACGCACTGTAACACGATACTACAATATTTCTTCAAAAGCAGATCATGGAGGCATTTTAATCGTCCACGATCAAAAATCGTGATATCGCACACCCCTATGCTAAGGGTAGTTCGGTATACGTGTAATGCATGTGCAGATTACAGAGTTTAGGGTTCATAAACTGAAAACTAGTGCATGTAAACATGCCCTGGGGAACGGTACTTTGAAAAGTGATGCATGACAATATTGTGTTACTCCCTTTAAAAGTAACTAATTGCGTTACCTGGTTACTTTTGCGTTACTTTTTTCCATCTGGGTTGGCTTGTTTTTTTTTTGTTTTTTTTTATATATAACAAAAAAGTTCTATTTTTGGGCAAATGTAAAGACCCTTTTATACTAAAAGTGAAAAGCCTCAGGCTGAAGGAGATGTCCAGTGGATAACTGTTGCTCTGGCTAACAGGAGACTACATGCAGGAGGAGAGCGGTCAACTCTTTACCTATAAAAACAACAAAAAAAGTTTTGTGCAATACATGTATATTGGTCAATAAAGGGATTAAATGCATAATGTGTTATTAACATTCAGTTATTGGAGGTTTTGCATAGTGTTCTAATTCTGCATTTCACAGATTTTATTCATTTTGAGGAATGTGCAAGTGAGCACACACACACACACACACACACACACACACAACGCCTCTGCACTTCGATTTGTCTCAACATGGGGACAGGAGAGCTGTCAGTCAATAAATGGGAAAACAAGTAACTTGCATTACTTATATGAAAAGTAAGTTGGATAGTGTGTGTGAATTTTAACCTGATTGGGATGTTCCCGTTCCTCTCCTGATGACGTGCTCCTGATCCTGCAGTGTTGTAGCTTGCTCTGCTCTCGTCTGCAGATCTGGGATCACGCGTTCCAGCATCTGTCGGTGCGTCCCGAGGATCACCCGGTGCTGCTGACCGAAGCCGCCATGAACCCGCGGCAGAACCGGCAGCGCATGGTGGAGCTGATGTTCGAGGCCTTCAGCGTCCCGCTGGCGTTCGTGGCCCTGCAGGCGGTGCTGGCGCTCTACGCCTCAGGCCGCACCACCGGTCAGTGTCACACACACACACACACACACACACACAGACAGAGCATCCCGCTGGCGTTCGTAGCCCTGCAGGCGGGTCAGTGTCTCTCTCTCTCACACACACACACGAATAAAATCATAATTTATGTGTAAACCATCACTTAACAGAGATGAAGAGAAAGCAGCGTTCATGTAGAGATGGATAGTCAAATATGAAACACTCAGTGGCCGAAATGTAGGTGTGTTTCTAACGAGGACACGGGTCTCTGCCGGACCCCTCTCATGGAGCCTCTGCTACCCGGGAATACACACATGACAAATCTGTTAGAATGTTAGTGTTTTATTTAAAGGACCAGTTTCTTGAACCTTATAAAAAAACATATTAAATTAAAAAAATTATACGTTTTGTTGAGCATCATATTTGATTCATCAGGCGTTTATTGCTCATATAATGTGATATAGTGAGAATATGGGGGAAAAACAGCTGTTTTATTCCGACTCAAACTGAGCACATATGTGCTGCAGATGCTGATATTTATATGGACGAAAGATGAGATTCTGATGCTTGTGATGTAAATCAATGCGATCTTTATAACAGTATAGCGGATACTTGCATAAAATACATATAAATATCATCTTACGAAGACATATTATTGGCAGATATTGATATTGAAATGCTTAGTTTATGAACAATCCTCTAGTTTAAAACGTATAAAGCAATACAGTGCTGATTGAGAGATTAACACACTTTCCTCAAAGCCTGATATTTATACTCATGATTTTTATAATAAATGATGTCTGGATAAAGTAAAGCTGCTTCAGTCCAGTTGAAATATAACTAACAATATCAAAGTTATTGTTGCATTTACTTGACTTTAGTTAATAGTTTAGACTCTTTTATCAGGAGATAGAAGGAGATTGAGAGGTTTATCAGATCATGCTCATCATTTAGAGGCCTTAGCTAGTGCACCATTTGATGCATGAATTTCTGTTTAGGGTAAAGTCATCTGAAACCTAATGAAGCATCTTGTTTTGAAGTTGAGTGTGTCAGTGTGATGTCGTTCTGATGGGTGTGTGTGTGTTCAGGTGTGGTGCTGGACTCTGGAGACGGCGTCAGTCACAGTGTTCCTGTGTTCGAGGGTTACTGTCTCCCTCACGCCGTGCAGCGCTTCAACCTCGCCGGAGCCGACGTCACCCTGCAGCTGCAGAAGGTCACACACACACACACACACACACACACACACACACACACACACACACACACACACACCCTGCAGCTGCTAAAGGTGACACACATGCACACAGAACACGTCACAATATTCCTCATTTGAATAATGCACAGAATAAAGGGGCGGGGCCTGGGTGAGTTGGTGTGTTAAAGTGGCGGTTATGGTAAGGGGCGGGACAATTCCCAAATACATTCGAAGCGCTCGACCAATCACAACACACTGATCCAGCCGAACAATCAGAGCACAGTGTGCTTTTCAGAAGGAGGGGCTTCATAGAGACAGGAACTAAACGGAGCGTTACTAGGGGCTTTCGCAGCGGGTAGTTATAGGAACGAGCCACCAGGGTGGATCCCCAAGATCTACTGGTTCTCCTGGGAACGTTTTCCTGGTTGCATTCGCATCGCCAGTAGGAACTCCGAAGTGACGTAAGCTGCGCTTGTTGTGACTTCTTTTTTTTTTTATTGTGGCGTGCTCAGAGCCTGAGCCACACAGTGCTCACATTCTCCGTGTTCATTAGTTTACGATCTGTCTAACACTTCTGTCAAATACGTTATTAGAACTTATACAAAGAAAATAGACAGTATATGAACAGGTATTAGCGTGTGGTTGTCCAGTGTTGCTAGCAGAAATACACAATCATGTTTCTCTCGGTCCCCTCAGTTGCGTTGGGTTTTCTCCTCAGCGTAAAGGTTAAGAGGCTCATCTATCACTGTTTTCCATGTTCGTAGAGTTAGTTTGTGCAGTAAATATATAGGCTATAATCTGTTTACACACAGCTTTTTAAAAAATGGTGGGTGCTGGTGTTTCGTGTGCGTTCGGGCAATCAGGAACACTAACATCACGGATAGTTCCTATAGCGCTGGTTTAGACCGACTCTGGAGTAGGAGTAAATTAGTTCCTCCAAAAGGAGTTCCCAGAACCAAAATCGTTCCTAGTTCCTGCGGTGCGAACACGCCAATATCCGGGAACTTCCACCAAGAGTTCTAGGAACTATGAAGAGGGTCCTCCGGTGCGAAAGCCCCTACTGACAGACTGGGAAGAGAGGAGCAGCAACAATGGAGAATATGGGGGAAATAATCAACATTCAAGCAGGAAAACCTGTTCTAGTAGAGCACAAAACCAACATCAGTGTTTCTGTGTGTGTGTGTGTGTGCAGCTGCTGCTGGAGCAAGGCGTGTGCATGCGCACGTCAGCGGAGCTGGAGATCGTGCGTGAGATGAAGGAGAGATGCTGCTGTGTGGCTCTGGATTATGAAGCGGAGCTGAAGAGCGCAGGATCGGCCTCCTCAGAGGTTCAGTACACACTCCCTGACGGGCGGCTCGTCTCGCTGGCCTCCGAACGCTTCCGGTAACTGACCCGCTCGAGTGTGTGTCTGCTCTTCACTGTCTGCCTCACACTAGGCTCAGTGGCACTGGGAGCTGCTGCTAACGTTAGGCTACCTGCGTAACCCCGGTTCTCTGATAACAGAAGTGCGGTATCTCACTAAGGGAACGCCTCCGGCGTGACCGACTGTGGAAGCACCAATTACACCACGTCTGTCAGACTGAGTCCCGCCTCCCTGGTATATAACTCTGCAGCCGCTGCATCATTCTACACACATCTGCAAGGAGTGAGGTGAGATGCCTCACTTCTGTTATCAGAGAACCGGGGTTACACATGTAACCTAACTTTCTCTTTCTAACATCCGTTCGGGATCTCATTAAGGGATATAGACCACTCCCGTATTGCAGATATGCTGTATGAACAGACGCAACAATGAAAGTAGTGTCATAACCAAGGCCATTAGTTACCAAAGTGAAACCCATGCCCTCATAATCCTCTATAAAACCTTTAAGTGGACCAACACCAGGGTGTTTATCAGGAAACAGAATAAGAACGAGAGACGTGTGAAGTGTAATGACGTTACACTCGCCGCTCCCACACTGAGCACAGGGTGCGCCAACGATGGCTTGGTCAGTCTATAGTATCAGACAAAAGTGTGCGGTGATGCCCAGCTTGCATATGTCCTGAATAGACACTCTTGAACAGCGCCAGGAGGTAGCCATCCCTATAGTGGAACGAGCTCGAAGCCCTGGTGGGGATTGTACATTTGCAACCATGTAACACATTGCAATCGCATTCACCATCCAATGAGAGAGCCACTGACGTGAAATGGGTCTCCCCTTGTAACTGTCAGCCCACGAAACAAAGAGCTGACTCCTTCGAAATGTGTTCTCTGTCTGTGCCTGGTGCGCGCTCTGCACACTTATCTTGTAACCGCTCTTCCTCTGATGAAGACAAAGGTGGTGGAAAGAAAGCCAACAAATCTACAGATCTGTTTGCTCCTTATGTCTCTCTGACCTTAGGAACGAATGCCGGATTAGTTTTCGGCATAACTTTCGATCCACTTGCTGCAAACTTTGTACAGGAAGCATGTAACTCACTCACTCGCTTTGCTGTAGTGAGAGCCAGTAGTAAAGCTGTCTTCAAAGAAAGACGCTGTAAATCAATTCTCGGTAATGGTTCAAAAGAAGGCTGGGAGAGCGCGTCCAGAACCACCGATAAACCCCAGGGCGGATCAGGGACTTCGTGACCGGGAGTACCCGTCTTGCCCCCCCTCATAAATCGACAGATCAAGGGGTGCTGGCTTATCGTTCCCGAATCCATCCCACATGACTTACCGAAATGGCTGAAAGATAGAACTTTACCGTGGAAAAGGCTCTACCTTTATCTAATAGTTCCTGCAGGAAACTGTGCCCGGTTGCATAAAGCACCTTAAGTGTAATTTTCCCTTAAGGTCACCCTTATGTTTCCCTTAAACCTAAGGGTGTTGCAGAAAAATACCCTTAAGTGTTACTTAACGTTTTTTTTTTAAGTGAAACGTCATAAACACTTAGAATTTCCCTTAAATGCTGTTTTTTCACTTAAGTAATCGTTAAGTGTTGCATAAAACCCCTTAACGGTAATTTCCCTAAGTATAACTTAAGGTTTGGAAATCGTAACCTTAAGAGTAACGCGGACAAAAGTAAGACGACATGGCTGAATTTATGGAACCAGCTGAAGATCATAGGGAATAGGGAGAACCCTTTGGCTGAATTTATGGAACCAGCTGAAGATCATAGGGAATAGGGAGAACCCTTTGGACTAATTTAGCGATGAAAAATTGTTGCAAGAAAACCGATTTGATCGACGCGCAATATTTGACATCACATCGCTATCAAACTAGATGGCCGTCTGTCTGTCATTACATGCGACTCGCATGTAAACTATCACAACGTTAAGTCAGTGCGCGCACGGAGAGTGTGTGGCCGACCCGTGCAGAAAAAAAGATTCACAGGAGAACGAGCTGATTCTGTGTTTTAAAAGGAATCATGACAGAAGAAAACAGGTATGCTATGGAAATATACTCAGCTGTATTTCGAGACACAGAGCCAGAAGTGCATTCACAATACCTAAACAAATGCCAAAAGCATGAGACGGTGATCCGCACTTTCGGAGCTAACGCGGTGTTGCGTGATAGCGTCACTGGACTGACACGTGATATTCCGACATGTTAGTGTTTTGCTTATCTATGGCAACAACAGATTTTTATAACGTGAATCCAGGATCGCTGTCGTAAAACACTTAAATGTTTCCCTTACCTAAGAGAACCGTTTAAGAGATTATATGCAACACCCTTTAGTTATTCTCTTAGGTAGTTATTCTCTTAGGTAAGGGTAAATCGCCCCTTAAGTATCATACTTAAGGGAAAAACTTAAGGTGCTTTATGGAACCGGGCACTGAACATCTGGTACAGAGCATAAGAACGAGATGATCCGTCTCTCTGCACAAAGATGGGCTCTGCGACCAGGGCTGGTCGTATAGAAGTGGGGTTATCTCCGCTATCCAAAACTTCCCCGGCCAAAACAGTGCAATCAGAATTAGTGAATGTCTGAATTCCCTCACCCTCTGAAGTGTTGGCCCGATGAGGCTCAGCGGGGGATAAGAGTGCGTTTGGCCACGGGTGGGCTAGAGCGTCCACACCCAGCGGTGCATCTTCTCCCACCAGGGAAAAGAACAGAGGGCGATGCGAAGAGATCTACGGCAGCCTGTCCGTATCTCAGCCATACCGGACTCACCACATCCGGGTGGAGTGTCCAATCTCTGTACATAGGATTTCCTCTGGACAACAGTTCTGCCCCTCTGTTCATTATTCCCGGTACATGCGTTGCCCGTAACGACAGAAACCTAGTGTTGCCCCACACAATCAGTCTCTGCGCTGGACTGTGCAGCTGTCGAGAGCGCACTCCCCTTGCCTGTTTATGTACCACTGTTGTGTTGTCTGTTCTGACTAACACATGATATCCCTGAAGGATCTGAATAAAGTGGTAAACTTGTACCTCCTGAGGTGTTTGTTCAGGGTCTGCAAGTCTAGAATAGGGCAGAGACCTCCCCTTTCTTTGAAAACCCTGATGCCTTTCCTCCCGCGGCACCGTTCTTAATACTCCTTTGCTCAAAAGAGAATAAATTTCTTCTAAAACCTGAGCTGATTCCCCCTGTGCAGTTGACATCACCTCTTCATTGAAATTTGGTGCTTTTACAGCGAATTGGAGTCTGTAATCTCCATCTATTGTTGATGAAACCCACGGAGACACTGCGCATGCACGCCAGCTCTCTGCTTGCGCAGCGCGTGTGCTCCGCTTCTCTTCGCTTACTGGCGCTGCTCGGTGGCGAATATGGGAAATGTAGTTTCAATGGAACTTTTTGGTTTCATTTTTGTTTTCACACATTTCCCCGCTCTTGGCCTGGATGTGTGGGAATTTCTTTTCACACCTCTTTTGCTTATGCAAACATTCTCTCCTGACTTCATTAACCCTGTGGGTGGAGGTAGGTGAATAATCACAGGGGAATACCTTGGGAACTTGTTCCTCTCGTAATGGTGAGTGAACCTGCTGAACTGGCCACTGAAACGCTTGAACTGGGGCCATTCACACTTGACAACTTTCTTCATTTCCCCGGGGGAGGAAGAAAAGTGTTGAACTCTAAGGGGGGTGGAGCAGAAAACCCTAGGAGCTGCTCTCTGTCCCCCTGTGGTAAACCAGGCTCGATCCTAGGTAGCCCGCCTCTTCTTGCCCCCTGGGTATTAGAAGGACAGAGCTTCGCCGCTGCGTACGATGGTTTCCCCTTACTCTTGGGCTGTGACGTCATAGCGGTTGGATGCTGAGGTGGGGGGGTCGATGACCGCGATACTCTGGGCAGCCCCTCTTTGACTGCGGCGTGAAATTCCCACGGGCAGGCTGATATGGTCGAGGCCATCTAGGTAAGCAGGTCTCGAACGCTTCTCCCTCCCTCAAGTCACACTGTTGGCGCATAGCTGTGACCGTAGACATAGGCTTGGGGTCTACGGGGGCGTCCAGAAACTTCTCTTTCCTTATCAGAAAGGCCTGAGAGACTGAGCCATGACGCTCTTTCTCCCACTACAGCCAGCCCCATACTTCTGCCGCAGCTCTGAACCGCCAAAGCAGAAGATTTGTACATTTTTTGAAACACAGAAGCTGAAAACTGCTCCGTTTTTCCCGGAAGCACGGCGCCCACCGCTGAAAAGTGCTCTTCGACTTCGATATAGACGGTTGGTAACTGAAAGCTCCACCGGGGGAGGCTCTCTCGTTCTTATTCATGAGGCGTGAGGCGTGACTGTAACCTCTTACCATCGTAGAGATCCCTCTCTACCCCTTGGTCGACCCGCTGGGAAGGCCGGTCGATGGAAAGTTTGGCAGCAGCCCTGCAACAGACTTCTTTGAGTCTAAGTCCACCGCGCCCATCGTTGTCTAGAAGATGAGGGGATAATTCCCCATCTTCCCCCGCTATACCCGTGAGGGACTCTCCAGAGAGAGGGGGAGGTCCGGGGACTCCACACCCATAATATCGCCCCAGGTACCTGGCTCAGGTAGCGGTTTAACCGTCTTATAATAATAACATCCGCTATAAAACCTGTATGAAGCTCTGATCACTTTACACTTTTCCATGGCTTTTTTTTTTTTTCAAAATGAAATTTATTGTAAAGGTATTTTTGCAGGGTTTCCTCACCAGAACAATCCAAAAGTACATGACATAACAGCACAACCCACTGAAGAGGTGTATCTCACTGCCTCATTCCTGTTACACACCAGAGATGGCGCTGCGGTGAATAAGCTCTCTTGGTTGTAACCGGTGTGTGTGTGTGTGGCTCTGTGGCAATCTGCCCTGGTTCACTTCTGTTCAGACACGAGTAAAACATGAACACTGGAGAGACGCTTCATAGCAGGAACTGAAGCTGAAGGAGACTCTTCGTGTTTCGCATGTGTATTTCAGCAAGAGGAAAGTGTGCTGCACATAATTACATGTTCATTAGAAACACTGCTGCAAATGAGTATATCAGGGACCTTATGACTTTAAATCTCCAGATTCACCCTCTCACAGTCTCGTGTCTTTACATACGCAGGGCTCCTGAAATCCTCTTCAGGCCGGAGCTGATTGGACGAGAGCATTATGGGATGCATGAGAGCGTGTTCAGGTCCATCATGCAGTCGGACATCGACCTCCGGCGCAGCTTTGTGGGAAACATCCTCCTGTCAGGTGTGTGTGTGTGTGTGTTGGCCAATCAGAGGCTAGAATCTGTAACGCATGTGACTGTGTGTGCTCTGGCCAATCAGAGGGCAGGATCTAACACATGTTCGTGTGTGCAGGCGGGAACACGCTGCTGCCGGGCCTCCCGGAGCGCCTCCAGCAGGAGGTGTGTGATGTGTGTGCGTCAGATCTGAGTGTGTGTGTGCGGGTCATCAGTCCTCCGGAGCGGGACTCCTCAGTGTGGAGCGGTGGAGCGGCGCTGGCCAGCAGAGCCGAGCTCAGCGGGGCCTGGATCAGTGCGCAGGAGTACCAGGAGTTCGGCCCGCACATCGTCTTCAGGAAGTGCTTCTGAACACACACTTTTACAGGGTTTAGTCTTACCCCACAGGGAGTCGCTGATAGTGCCAATGTTCATCTGAGTCTTTTAGGACTCGTGTACGAGTCCATGTTTTAATACTTTTAAACTCTTCCCTTATACTGGTTGTATCAATCAGATCGTCCGTCTCTTTAACACATGAATTATAATCTAATATGTAAATTAATGTGTTTATATATGTGTGTGTAAGTTTAACCTATCTATGAGATATTAATGTGACGGTTTGAGTGTTCTGATGCTCTCCATGAGGCTGATAAAGCAACTCTCACATGTGATCCGGTTCCCATCGGGCTCGACGCGAGGAGCTTCAGTGTGTTTGACGTGCGACGCATTTCCTCCATATGCAGTTTCTCTTTTCACCTGTGTGTGTGTTGTGTTGTGTGTTTTGATTGGTTTTATCACTTCACGCATCTTTCCTCTTGTTTTCACATGTTTGTTGTCTCTGAGAGACTGGTATGGATGGATGTGGGTCTGAAGCGTCTCCTGCTGATGAACTCTGAGGTTTGCTCTTGTTCACCCTAATCCGGTCATGTGATCAGCGCTGTAATGGCTGAATGTGTTGCTCAATGTGTTTGCCTCCATCCCCAGCATCAGTGTCTGTTAACTGGGTAATGTCTGACCTTTTTACAATAAATATATCTTCTAAACCAGCTGCTGTTGGTCTTGTGTGTGTGTCATCACACTGGTTTGATCTGAAGACTTCAACACTACATCCACGGCTCGTTCACAGTCTGAAAAATAAAGGACTTTTCCCAAAAATGTAATAATTTTTTTTTTTTTAAGGACTATAATCAGATCTCGCTTATCAAAACATATTTTCTTTCAAATTCTAAACGAGGTAAATTTATAAAATGGTACAAATAAAATGCAGCACATGCAAAGTTTGCAATGACTGTGGCAACTTTAAGTATGGGAACATTAAAGGGCTTTAGTGGAAAGAAGAGCCAATAGAAAGAGGGCATAATCTCTTACGTGATTATTAAAATATGTAAGTTTGTAAAATGTAAAGCATTTTCAATGCAATATAATTGAATTGCAATTACGATCTAATGACGTTACACTGCAAAAAAGACTAGTATTTTTTTAGTATTTTTATATTTTTGTATTTTTGTCTTGTTTCCAGTCCAAATATCAAAAAATTCTTAAATCAAGAAGCATTTACTAGAAAATTAAAACAAGGTAAGAAATTGTATCTTGTTTCTAAAAATATATATATACATATATCAAAATTGAGTTTGTTGAAACAACCTAAATTTGCCAGTGGAGTAAGAAAAATCATGTTCTATTTGAATTAAGATTATTTGTCTTACCCCATTGGCAAATTTAGGTTGTTTCAACTCACTTCTATCTATATTTCAAGATATAATCTGTCATTTACTTATCTAGTAAATAATCCTCCTTGATTTAATAATTTTTAGATATTTGGACTGGAAATGAGAAAAAAAAAAGTTTTAATGCACTGCAAAAAATGCAAGGATTTTTCTCAAATAACAAATGTAAACTATCCAAACTACAACTTATTTAATATATTATTTACAGAGTTCATAATTCTTGTGGAATCAATATAGTATAATGTTGGTGTCCTTGGGTCTGGGTTAATCAGCGGCTCCAGTAGAGGGTGGCAGACTAACTGAGTTAGTGCACTTCATTAAACACTGGTTCATTCTGGAAGGTTGTAAATAAAGAAATAATTTTAACCTTGAACAACACCTTTAAGGTGCAATCGACAAGCAAATCTGCTCCTAAGAGAAGCTGAATGTGACGGGATATAATCAATACATTGACCATGAGAAATCACTACTGAGAGGAGACTGTGACGCAGATATTTTGTCGATGCTTCGATAGGATGCTTCGATTCACATGATTTAAGTGTCATAGTCAAATTTAAGTAGGCTACTTCAACCACTTTGAGCACCTTGTACTAACTTTAAATATATGTGCTTGAAAAGAACTGAAATATACTTTTCTTTAGGAAACAAAACATTAAACTTCTTTTAAAGGAACACTGGGATTGTTGGCGCTCTAGCGGTTGATAAGCAAAGCCATAGACATAATAAATACAGGGTTAGGTATTTATTATTGTATTTATTTATTTACATAATGTATTTCATTTATCATGTCTATGAGCAAAGCTGCATGCTTCTCGCGGAAGAACACTGTAGCCGGAACTACTTCTCTATGACGCATCACGGGTTACTCCGCAGCATCCCGCTCAGTATAAAATAGTCCGAATATAAACATTTTATAATAAAACCTACTATAGGCCTACTGTAACCGAAAAGCACAGTTTGGAAAATGGATTCATGATCATAAATTATTAACAAAAATGAACAGTGCACCTTTAACTGTATAATATTATCATATTTCAATAAGCTGCATGGGATCAATTGTAAGTTTAAAATGGGCCAATATTAAAGTTAAACAAAAAGAGAAATATTTCACCTTTTAAAAAATTTTCCACTGCGTTTTATGTGTCCCTATATAGTTATGTTTTCAAGTATAATATAAATAAATGCATTGGGCTTTCACTGTAATGGGTAAAACAGACAACTAAATGGTTCGTTGCAATTATTTATATGACAATTAATCGCCAGTACAAAATTCAAATTTCATGACAGTCGGCATTAGAAGAAAAAAAGTTAATGTGACGTAAAGAATTTGCCATACAAGTATTCCAGTGACGAGTAACATCACGAAATAGCTTTACAAAGTTTACATTGTAATGACAATTTACGTGTAATGACGTTGTTCCTTGTAAAATATTACTATTAATAGTAACAAAATGTTGTCCTGTGAATTGTTAGTGTGTAAGCGTGGTTTCGTGAAGGACGAGAGAGACCTGTATTTTGAAACTTCCGGCTGCACCGGAAGCCGGTATCGTTGCGCTGGCTTCACAGAGCAGTTTCACGTGTTCCCATCACCGCAGACACACTCTTAAAATATGACGCATCTAGACGGGATCGTGTAAGTAAACTTTATGAAAACTTCACATTCCCTCTTGTCGCTGTAGTGAAGCTGTTGTTTAGGAAGGCAGTTAGTCGCTGAAGTGTGAGATCAGTATCAGTGTGACTCTTCGCCGGAGACACGAGAAAATAACATACAGTTCAATGTCTTCTCTCGGTTTCATGTGGATATACTTTGTTATTATCTCGGTGTATGTGTATATATATATATATATATATATATATATATATATATATATATATATATATATATATATATATATATATGTGTGTGTGTATTATATACATATGGTACTTTATACAAAAGAGGGAATAACGTTATAGGGACAGTAGAAGTGAGTGTAAAGAGCCCATGAACACACACACACACGTGTGTGTGTTGTTCCTCCAGTAAAGAGCCCATGAACACACACACACACACACGTGTGAAAGTGTGTGTGTGTGTGTGTTGTTCCTCCAGTAAAGAGCCCATGAACACACACACACACATAAGAGAGAGTATAGGGACAGTAAGTGACTGTAAAGAGCCCATGAACACACACGTGTGAAAGTGTGTGTGTGTGTGTGTTGTTCCTCCAGTAAAGAGCCCATGTACACACATACACATAAGAGAGAGTATAGGGACAGTATAAGTGACTGTAAAGAGCCCATGAACACACACGCGTGACAGTCAGTGTGTGTGTGTTCCCCCAGTAAGGCGAAGACGCGGCGCGCTAAGCGGTTCCTGCAGAGCCGCGAGCCGAAGCTGACGGAGAGCCTGAAGAACTGCATGATCATTAAAGGAGGGAACACCAGCGAGACGCTCTCTCAGTCCCTGAAGGACGTGGTGAGTTACGATCTTCATCATCCTCTTCATCAGCTGGGTGTGTGTGTGTGTGTTCCTCATCCACTCTGTGTGTGTTTCAGTACGCGCTGAAGAAACCCAATGCTGTGCTGTATAAGAAGTAAGTGTGAGTCTCAGAGGCATGAAGTGTCCTCCTGTGCTGTTATAACGGCTCCTAATGTTGTTCTGGCGTCTCCTACAACAGCTTCACACGCGTTACGCTCAGAAACACTGATCTCCTCATAATCTCCACTGCAGCTTCAGCTCTTTCTCTCAGTGTCTGAAACGCTTCAATACAGATTCAGTCTCTCTAAGCCCCGCCTCTCTGAGAGCTGCTCTGCTGTGATTGGTCAGAAAGCAAACGCTCATTATCATATCTGAATCTCAGCTCTTGATCACAGTGATACGAACAGTGATGATGGCGTGGGTTTCACCGTATCAATCTCAGAAAACAGCGTCTCCTCGACACGAACAACACGAGCCTAACTCTTCCAGTCTCAGATACACTACAGTGTTTGAGGGCGGAGCTAAGAGACGCTGCTCAGCCAATCAGGAGCACCGGCTGCAGGGAGTAACTTAGGGCTGCAACTAACGATTATTTTGATAATCAATTAATCGGACGATTATATCGGATAAATTCAATTTGATTTTTTTTTTATAACTAAATAAAACCCTAAATCAGGGTATTTATGTGTAAAAGTGTACTTTTAAAAGTGCAAAAGCCACACATCGAGTTTTACTAAGATCAACATATGCATTGTTTTTAATGATAATTGCTAATGGCAAGTTGACAACCATGATTAATGTAAAAAAAATATATAAACATATCCAACATAATTATTTTTGAACACAATTTTTGTTAAAACAAATTTACACAGACATGTTGTTCAGATGTGAAGATATAAACTAAAAACATCTCAAATATATAATTCATTTAATTTTTATTTGAAATTAATAGGCGATCCCTCACGCCGCATTACATGACTGTAAGACTCTGGTAAGGCTCAGCTGTGCGGCTTGACCACATATCAGTAGTGCTAGCAAAAAACTCAACCGTCTTAAGCTCCGCGGTGACTTTATCTTTGCACTTTTTGCACATCTCCGGTATGGCAGTCTGACTGAAGTATGTACGGGAGGGTATACTGTACCGTTTATCAAGCGTATTTATCAATGCCACGAACCCAGGCTTGGTCACCGTGCTGAGAGGC